CAGAATGATGAGTGTGACACAAACAATGTCACAGAAGGTGATTGAATTCTTTTAAAACTGTAGATTTACTCAAAGATGAGCGTCACATGTGTTCTTGTTTTAGCATAAAAGCCAAACTACTTGCGTCTGCTGCTGCCTTCAAAGACACTTGTAAACTATAGCTTTGGGCGGTTAAGCTTCTGAATGTTTTTTATGTTGAATGAGTCGTAAAGTTGTTTAATCTTGTTATAGTTCGGATCAATGACCATCTGTCAGCCACACTCACAGCTGGGTTTGCTTGGTTCAGTTGTATTCCACAACAAAGCAAATTTAAGTAGATTCGACGCGTTGGGCTGAGTGAGGGTGGCCTCTCTTTTTCACTTTTTTGTCTGAAAAAACTGTCTGAAAAAGCTGATCTAATGTGATGTGATGGAGGCCAGAATTGCATGCATTTGAAAACTAGTGATCTCTCTTGTCTCTCTCTGGTCACTTCCTCTCTCTCTGGTTTCTCTCTGGTCTCTCTCTCTGGTCTCTCTTTCTGGTCACTCTCTCTCTCTGTGGTTTCTCTCTGGTCTGTCTCTCTGGTCTCTCTCTCTCTCTGCTCTTTCTCTCTGGTCTCTTTCTGGTCAATCTCTCTCTCTCTCTTTTTCTCTCTCCCTCCCTCTGGTATCTCTCTCTCTCTGGTCCCTCTATGGTCACTCTCTCTCTCCCTCTCTTCATCTGTGGTCTCTCTCATCTTTCCCTCTCTGGTCACTCTCTCTGGTTTCTCTCTGGTTTCTCTCTCTGGTTTCTCTCTGGTCTCAATTTCTGGTCACTCTCTCTCTCTCTGTGGTCTCGCTCTGGTCTCTCTCTCTCTGCTCTTTCTCTCTGGTCTCTTTCTGGTCAATCTCTCTCTTTCTCTCTCTCTCTCTCTGGTATCTCTCTTTCTCTGGTCCCTCTATGGTCACTCTCTCTCTCCCTCTGGTATCTCTCTTTCTCTGGTCCCTCTATGGTCACTCTCTCTCTCCCTCTCTTCATCTGTGGTCTCTCTCATCTTTCCCTCTCTGGTCACTCTCTCTGGTTTCTCTCTGGTTTCTCTCTCTGGTTTCTCTCTGGTTTCTCTCTCTGGTTTCTCTCTGGTCTCTCTTTCTGGTCACTCTCTCTCTCTCTGTGGTCTCGCTCTGGTCTCTCTCTCTCTGCTCTTTCTCTCTGGTCTCTTTCTGGTCAATCTCTCTCTTTCTCTCTCTCTCTCCCTCTGGTATCTCTCTTTCTCTGGTCCCTCTATGGTCACTCTCTCTCTCCCTCTGGTATCTCTCTTTCTCTGGTCCCTCTATGGTCACTCTCTCTCTCCCTCTCTTCATCTGTGGTCTCTCTCATCTTTCCCTCTCTGGTCACTCTCTCTGGTTTCTCTCTGGTCTCTCTCTGGTCTCTCTCTCTGGTCTGATCACTCTCTGTTTTGCACAAAGGTCCTTATTAATTAAAATCCCATTGTCAGAAAAAAACAACTAAAGACCTTGGGAACAGATACAAGCAATCTAAGTGAGATTTTCAAAGTGGGTTAACACGTGTCTGACTTCCACCAGAATGATAGACCTGATATAAAGCGAGGTCACGCTCTGTTATCTCCCACCCAGAAACATTGTGTTTCCTCTGGTCTTGTCGATAAACCCTAATCTTATCCCCATTTCCCTTGAACTGCTCCATTTATGAAACTACTGTATGTGTAAATGATAAAGCTCAGATACTCTAAATACCAAATCATACAGCATATATAGAGGGACAATGTTAACCTGCGACCTCAATGAAGCCCAATATAAAGACGGATTTCTGCTTCCAAATCTCTCTGGCTCCTTTTGACTTACATGTTCAAGTAAACTCCCTTTAGCTCAGAAACAATTTGTGTCACACTCACCATTTTGGTTCAAAAATTCTGTGATCCTATTGTTTATATTGTGAGATTTTCTTTGTAAATCCAGACATATGAGCCATATAAGGATGGACCAATCAGATGCCTTCATTTGCGAAGGAATGTAGACTGTATATTAGCTTTGGACTGACCCAGTGTGAGATCACCATAGTGTAAGGCTTAATGCAGAAGAAGGTGATTTGAACATAAGCTAGCTGGAGCACATTTCCTTGTATGGGCATTTGTTCCGACAGCATTGGCTTTGTGCCGAAACATGAGATGCTAAGGCTAGTTGGAGTTTCATCCGCAAATGAAGGCATCTTATTGGTCCATCCTGGTATGGCTCATGTACAAAATCACAATATATACACCATGATTACAGAGTGCTAAACCACAGATTCAAGCCCAAAATAGTGAGTGTGACAAATGGTTACTGAGCTTGAGGAGTTTACTTTTACATGTAAGTCACAAGGAGCCAGAGTGCTTTGGAGCCAGACTTCATCCATGAGCACTTCCCTATTGCGTTTCATTGAGCTAGCAGCTTAGCATCTATATACAGTGTATGGTCCAGACACCGTTCAAGTTTAGAGTCACTGCTAAGTACAACATATATAAAACAACACAAACATTTATGTTGTTTTTCTTATATTACTATTATGATGTCTCTCTTTTCTCTGCTCAGGTCCAGTCTCCTCTCGGTGTCTCCGTCCCTTTAGTTTTTTCTCTTTTCTCCTGGAGCAGCAGTTAGAGTTTCCTGTGAGAGCAAACGGAAGGAAGTGGATTTCTGCTGATGACTTCAGGGGACGTTCTTGAGAGACCACACCAGTAGTTTATGAAGTCTTTGTCTGGGAACAAATTTGCTTACTCTTTTGTTAAAGCTACACTACGTAACTTTGCTTGTGTCCATAACAAATGTTGTTGAAATTCCAGAAAAGTTCCAAGATATGACTTTAAACTGTTCCATACACAGACAAGTGCAATAGTTAGAAGTCATTTCTGTGGAGAGGAGGGACAACAATGTAGGTTTTCAGGTTTTGTACGAAGTGGCCAGCGATAGAGACCTGAGAGGGACCAGAGAGAGACCAGAGAGGGACCAGAGAGAGACCAGAGAGGGACCATGATGGATCAATTATAATACCAGAGATAAAGAGAGCAGAGAGATCAGCTTGAGATCAGCTTTAGATCAAGACCAGAGAGGTCAGAGAGAGAGAGAGAGAGACCAGAGAGAAGCCAGACCAGAGACGGACCAAAGAGAGACAAGAGAGAGAGACGAGAGAAATTCAGAGAGAGAGACTATGGACCAGTTTATAAATGGTCTGTTTTTAAATTGTCAATACTTACCTACTAGCTAAGTGAACTCCAATAGGAAAGTGCTCATAGACAAAGTTTTGCTCCAATAAGGAAATTAGCTTCAGCTAGCTTATGTTCAAATCGGCCTCTTCCGCATTATGGCTAACACTATGGTGATGTCACACTTGGTCAGGCCACTCCTGATATACAGTACTGCATGTCTAGTATTGTGCGCTAAATAAAAAAACACATGAAACCACACAGTCAGTTTATTGAAACATCTTTTATACAAAATTTGAATCAATATTAAAATTATTATTTATATTCAATTATATCTAGAAGGATTATGTCTATCTAAGGACAATAAATGCATTTTCTTTTTATAAACTGACTGTAAACATTTCAATGTGTTGAGGTACTGCACCGTCTCCTATCGAGCATTTTCAAGTCCAAGTGTGAAGTCAACGATGCCAAGTGTCAAGTGACGTCAGCAAAAACAAATATATGACATTTGAGAATAAAAATAAAAGCAGAGAAAGTATAGAAGACATGACTAAAACTAACATGTTATACTAGCAAATAGCTTAGCATCAAAGCTGACAACAATGACACTCCCCAAGGTGACCGTATGGACATGTTGCGTTTGTAAATCATTGACTGTATACAGAAGGACAATGCTAATCCGCTAGCTCCATGAAGCCCAGTAGGAAAGTGCTCATGGATGAAGTTTGGCTCCAACTCTCTCTGGCTCCTATTGACCCACATGTAAACTAGCTCAGTAACCATTTGTGTCACACTCACTATTTTGGGATTTAAAAAAAACCCTGTGGTTTAGCGCTTTCTGTGATCCTAGTGTTTATGTTGTGATAACGACTTTAGATATTTGCCTGGATTCATAAAAAAAAACATAGATTTGACAAGAGACACTAAAATCCCCATAGAAACCTCCTTTGTGAAAGCGGTAAGTTCCGTTTCAGTAAACACTGAGGCTGCGACACCATCCAGATAATATAATACTTTCTATGCCTTGGAACAAATGCCCATATAAGGAAACATGCTCCAGCTAGCTTATGTACAAATCAACCTCTTCCGCATTAAGGCTAACACTATGGTGATGTCACACTTGGATTGTCCACTCCTAAAATAGTCTATGCTGTACATACATTAGATGGAGGATGCTCTGGTGACACCTACTGGAGGAAGTGCTAATTGCAAAGAAAAACAACGTTAAAGTCAACAACTAATAATACTAAGTTAATATATATCAAATAAGTGCACTATACTCTCTTAGCATTCAATCAAAGTATTAAAATTAAACAGCTTTACAACATTTACAGCTTTTTAGAAAGAGGGGGAGTATCAAGGTAATAATAGAAGCAAGATTAACTTCAACTCAGAAGAAAAGATGAGTCTTCCCAAATCTATTAAGAGCAGGAAATGGAGAAAACCCTTGCACGGCCATTGATCACTTTCCAAAAATGTCAAATTGTGACTTGCATGGCTCCTCCACATAATTCTGCAATAGTTCAGATGTTGGATAAAGGGATAAAGACTATTCTTCAGTTGTCTAATTTTGGTTTCCAAGTTCTGTGATGACACACTTCCTGAAAGACAAAGCAAATGGTCTCTGGTTCACTTTTGGTCCTTGGTCTGGCTTTGGTCTTCTGTTCTTCTCCTTGTGGTCTCTAGTCTCTGGTCTCATTCAGTTCTTGTCCTCCTGGTCTGGGTCTTGTCTCTGGGCTTAGTCTTCAGTTCTTCTGTTAATGGTCTCTGGTCTCCCTTCTTCTTCTCCTGGTCCTGCTCTGGTTTCCTTTCCCTTCCTCCTAGTTTGTCTCTGATATCTGGTTCACTTCTTCTTCTCTTTCTCCGGTGCCTCCTCTTGGCTCATCTCCACGCTCAGCACCTCCTCTCCCTCTCTCCGTGGGGTCATTCTGATCCGGAGCGTGCTGTCTGCGCTCTCAGCCACAGCGTCGTCGTCGTCTTGGACCTTGAAGACCGGGATGGGGCTGCGGCGGTGCATGGGCGAGGGCGGAGGCTGGGGGGGCAAAGAGGGGTCCTGCAACGAGACCAGAGGAAAGACTTAAAACCAGCTGCAGTATATTCAAAACAATGCAGCCCCAGTCCTGACTAGAACCAGGAAGTACGACCGCATTAGTCCTGGTCTCAGGTCTCTGCACTGGCTTTCAATTGGCTCAGAAAATAGACTGCAGCTCTGTTTGTGTAAATGTTTCTCCATGACCTCGCACCAGCACCAGTACATTAGTGACATGTTAGGGTCATATGAACCAAGTTGTACTCTGAGGAGCACAAGGACTGGCCTCCTACTGGGACCCTGAGGAGCACAGGGACTGGCCTCCTACTGGGACCCTGAGGAGCACAGGGACTGGCCTTCTGCCGGTGCCCAGAGTCAGGACAAAACATGAGAAGGCAGTGTTTCAGATTAATAGCTAAAATCTGGAACAGTCTTCCTGAAAATATGCGACAGGCTTGTACTCTGACAATGTTCAAATCCACTCTTTTTAATGTACTGTGATTATTTATGATTTAAATGTCTCTCATTCTTTTTATAATTAGCACTCAGAGTTGCCTTGTGTATGAACTGTGCTGTACAAATTGAGGGTTATTGTGGCCCTGAGACATGATCTTGGGAATATTTACATTAGTATGTGCGGTTAGTTTTACTATATTGTATGGCTGCAAGAATCCTTAGAAAACGAGATTCTGATATCGTAGTGGAACTTTCCTGGTTAAAGCAAAGGTTAATTAATGATACTATCTGGAGTGGAAACAATGGCACCCCCTTGAAAAAGACATCGCAAAGGTTTTTTTTAAAAATAATCCTTAATATTTCCTTAATCCACCAGATGACTGGCATTGGATCAAAGGACACCACAGGTCACGCAGATAGATGGATGAAGAGTTCCCACCGGCTCTCCCTCGGCTGGTTTGTAGGTGGCCTTGAGTTTGGCGAAGGTGCCCTCGATCCCGGCCTGCTCCGTCACTTTCAGAGCTGCTTTGAACATCTTTGGCGTCTCTGGTCTGGGAGGGATCACCACCACGGCCTCCCTGCCCTCCTTCTCGTCCGGCTTCTTATCCTTCGTCAACATTGTCCTGCAAGCAACACATCACACGCTCAGTATTTAAGCTTTAGAAGTATATTTTAAACTGAAAGGATGTCTTAAAGCTGGGGGACATCACTTTTTTGTTTCATACAGAAATAGGCTTGCAAAATTAATCGCCTCAGACCACAACATACTGTCTTCATCAACACGACACCTTTTGTGTAAGAAAGAGCCCTGTGAGTCACTATTGGACTCTTTGGGCTGAGAACTGATTGGCTCAGGGAGGTCCTCTTTCATTCAATTTTCTCTCTGAAAAATCTGATCTACGTATGTGGCTGAGGCCAAAAATACCAGTGTAAACTAGAGAGATACCAGACAGAAAGACCAGAGAGAGACCATGGGGAGACCAGGCAGTTTCTAGAGAAAGAGACCAGAGAAATAGACTAAACAGAGAACAGAGAGAGAGAGAGACCAGGGAATGAGACCAAATAGAGACCAGAGAGAGAGACCAGAGGAAGTGAGACTAGAGAGTTTTCCCACTAACAAAGATCCGATTGAAAGATTTGACAGAAGCCAACAGTAATCATGATAGAAACTATAGAACCAGGTGTGAAACCAGCTTCTACTGGTGATTGCTCCTGTGTGTCCTTGGGCAAGACACTTAACCTGACTCGCTGTCAGTGTCTGTGTTTGTAAATCCAGATATGAGCCATTCAAGGATGGACCAATCAGACTAAATTCCATTCAATTTATTTGTGTATAGGCCTTAATCACAACAGCAGTCGTCCGGAGGGTCTAAAGACATTGATGATCCAGAACATTTCCTTATGGACCAATGGCATCTATGTTTGTTGTTGTTCCATTTCTTATGTTCAAACTGTTTGATTCTCTGATCTGTCTTTGTTCCACTTTCTGCAACACTGGAAAATATAAGTGTATAAATTATGCTAATTAGCTTTCTATCTGTTGTAGTGACAATTGCTATCTGTCTATGCTAATAACAAAAAGACCTAGAAGCCCTGAGACACAACAATAGCAAATTAAGCAAAGGGTCAGCACTGTATTGTTACAATCTTCTGTCTCTTTTTGGATTTACCGCAATGTAATTTTCTTCCCCATTCTATCAGCTTCCCTCCTACAGTATCATCGTATAGAGTCAGCTTCACATGTGTTGGTCAAAGTAGATTGATTAGATAAAACCATACACTGTATATATTAACGGACGTAGTCACGCCTATCTCCGCCGTTCTAACTAATGGGCCAAAAATTGGGCTCTCATGGAGTGATTCAAAATGGCTGCGGGGGCTGGAAAATGTGAAAAAACGCATCCGTGCATGCGCCGGCCGGCACGAGCTCCATTCATTTAAACAAGTGACTTCAAAAATTCACAGCGAGTAAACTAGACTGGTTCAAAAAAAATTCCCTCCCCTCAGCATTGACACACATGTGGAACGGAGATTTGGGCCAAGAGCCAACTTTTGGACCATCCTGTAAAGGTGTTTTCGAGAGATAAGAAGATGCTATATGTTAGCATTGGCTAATTCTTATTCCGGGTCCACCCCCATCGGCCTGGGGTGGTATTGCAAGCATGTCAGTGCACGTCAATTTGGCCACTTTTGAGCCGGGACCCGCCCCCACTGACTAAAACATATAAAAATGCTGTGTGTTTGTCGCACCCAACCACACAACTCCTCCTACCAGAGAGAGAGAAGAGAGAGACTGACCGGAGAGGGACCAGAGAGAGAGACTAGAGGGAAAGAGACCAGAGAAAGATCGGAGAGAGACCAGATACTGGAGAGAGACCACGGAGAGACCACGCAGAGACCAGAGAGACCACAGAGAGTTAGACCAGGGAGACACCAGGGAGAAAGACCAGAGAGAGAAAGACCAGAAAGAGACCGCAGATGGAGACCAGAGAGATACTAGGGAGAGACCAGAGAGAGAGACCACAGGGAGAAAGACTAAATAGAGACCCGAGAGGGACCAGACAGAGAGAGAGCAGAGAGAGAGAGAAAGATTGGCTAAAACCTGTGTCTAGTTTGTTGCACCAAACCACTCCTTCATTTTCAAGCTTCTTCCATCACAACTACACACCAAACCACACATTGCAAATCAGAAAAGCTGTTACCAACCTGCTGTGAAGGCAACGAGGCAAAAATACATCCGTTTATACACCTACATGACACCAGCCCCACAGGAGGCTCTGGCTGTTTGTTCACTGGGGCTAAAGCAGCTAAAGGCACGGCGAGCTCGTCTCCTGAGTCACCGGTCTGAGAAGATTATGGCCACAGCCTAATCCTGACACAGATCAGCCCTGAACACGACCAAGGTGAAGGTGGTAGGGTTGGCCTACATTCAGGCCACTAGAGCAGGTTGTCAAAGTCAGGGAAACAATAGCTTGTCAGGGCCACAACTATTCTGGCTACACTTTTATATCGAAGTATCAAATATGTTTTGGTGCATTCAGCTGCTCTGGGAATAATGGTGAATACAGCTTGCAGAGGGGGAAATTGATCAAGAAAAACCACTGAGACTATTCTTCATTTTGATTTTTTATCTGCCGTTAACAAAAAGTAGTCATTGGTATAACTTTCACAGTGTCGTCCAGCCATCTTCAGCTTCAACCATTGTCATAGTATTGTCATAGTCATTCTATTGCTAGTTGCAAAGCTAGGCACCTCTAGAATCCAGCTAATGTATATTTGTGTTTAATTGTGTCTCAACATTCCATATGAGGCGCTAATACAGGGCCTAATGTGAAATATATGTGGCGCTGACTGCAGGTGGAAAGCCAGAACCTGTCAGACCTAGGCCAGGGTCTGGTTGGAACTGTGGTGGGAGACTTCTGGGAGCAACAGGTGCCACCGTGGGGGTTCTGCAGCTGTAAAGTGCCAGACTGTGGTTGTGTCCTTAGGCAAGGCACTTCACTCACATTTGAATGAGTTACTGGTTGCCTCGCTTCTGTCACCTTGCCCCAAGGCAGCTGAGGTTACTGTAGATTCTCTCCACCATGATTGGAGTGAAATGACACGTGAAGCGTCTTTGAATGTTGTATAAAGATGAAGATCAGGAGATTATTTATTCATCCCACAGGGAAATGTAAGTGCTGCAGAACAGTAAGAATGAGGAGCACAAGATAAATGAATAATAGCTATAAAACTAATGCTTTATTATAATAATTATTATTATCATTATAATATTATTATTACAATTGCTATGGTGTTAATCAATGTGGACATATTATATCTGATAATGATGTAATAGACTTAAAGCTCCAGGGGCAGGACTCACTTGGCCTTCTTGCGCAGCAGTTTCTGCGACTCGGGGTAGTGCACCAGGATTTCGGCCAGGTCTTTCTTGTCCAGAATCATGAGGTTTGCGAAACCATGAGCTTTCACATTCGCTGTCCGTCTGTTTCCGCCGCCGCCCGCCAACAAACTGACCAATCAGAGAAAGGGAGTCAAAACATATCTCACACAACTCATGCCGATATACAGGCTATTGAGAGGAAATATTACAGAGCTGCTAAAATATGACAAAGGCCTGCTGTACATGGATTCATTTGTCCAGTCCAGGGTGTGAGAAAAGAAGAGACCAGGGAGAGAGATCAAAGTAAGAGACCAAAGATAGACCAGAGAGAAAGAGGGGGACTAGAGTGAGACCAGCGAGAGAGAGACCAGAGAGAAAGACCGGAGAGAGACCAGAGAGAGGCCAGAGAGAAAGAGACTAGAGTGAGACCAGAAAGAGAGAGACCAGAGAGAGACAAGAGTGAGACCAGAGAGAGAGAGAGAGAGATCGGAGAAAGGGACCAGAGAGAGACCAGTTTCAGTCTGTGTCTCCAGACTAAACTCTTTAGATCCAGCTTGAGCCTGTGTTTGCTGTAGTAATTGAAGTGTATAATCCCAGTCTGACCTGATCTCTCCAAACACAGACCCGGCTCGTATCGTCACAAAGACTGTGCTCAAGTCGGGACCTCCCACCACCTGCACCTCGCCCTGTTTTATGATGTACATCTCTCGACCAATCTCCCCCTGAAAGACACACACACGAAATCAGAGAGGGGCCAGGAAGAGAGAGACAGTAGAGAGAGAGACTAGAAAGAGAAAAACTTTGTGACAGTTTTTGTTTCAAGTGGATTGTTCCAGGAATTACAGATTACACTACTAATCTGACTTTTGACCCTGACCGTAGTTACCATGAAGGCCCTCCACCACAACTAAAGACTCTTTGGAATGTTGTGATGTCACATGCAACCTATTACCCAGGAAACCAGCTCGCAGTAAAAATGCATGTTCTTTTATTTCAATAAAACCAGTTTACTAATATATTTCCATTTAAAACTCTTGACATTTACCTTCTTACACACAAAGTCTCCGGGCAGGAAGACCACAGACTTGAGCCTGGTGAGCATGTCGAAAACCATCTGCCGGTCGCAGCCCTACAGGAGACAGGAGCAGGGGGTGGTTATGGTCATGTGGAGCGTGTCCTGGTTCCGTCATACTGCACCTATTAGCCCCGTAAATAACATAAGTATTTAAGAAGTGGGTCAGCACATGGTCCCCACTTCAAACATGTCAGATCAGTTCATCTGCCACTGTGTACTGATGTTATATGCATCTTTAAGAAGTGACATTGGTCTCTCTATGGTCTCTCTCTGGTCAGTCTTGTCTATTTCTGCTCTCTCTTTAGTCTCTCTCTCTGCTCTCTCTCTTTGGCCTCTCTCTCTGGTCTCTCTAGTCTCTCTCCGGTCTCTCTCTTTGGTTTCTCTCTGGTCTCTCTCTTTGGTCTCTCTGGTCTCTCTCTTTGGTTTCTCTCTGGTCTCTCTAGTCTCTCTCCGGTCTCTCTCTTTGGTTTCTCTCTGGTCTCTCTAGTCTCTCTCTGGTCTCTCTCTTTGGTCTCTCTGGTCTCTTTGGTCTCTCTCTGGTCAGTCTTGTTGCTCTCTGCTCTTTCTCTGTCTTTCTCTTTGGCCTCTCTCGGTCCTCTCTCTCTGATCGCTCAGCTCTCTCTTTCTGGTCTCTCTCTCTGGGCTCTCTTTGAAATCTCTCTTTCTGGTCTCTTTCTCTGGTCTCTCTCTAGTCTCTATATTAATAATGTATTTTTATATATTTAGTAGAAAATGTATGGTAACACAAGAATAAAGTGTACAAAAAACACAGTCATGCGATGTAGAGAATGTAATTTCAATTACCAAAACAAATGTATGGGCAATTGTTGCTAAAACAATTGCTAAGCAAGCTCGAGTTCCGCTCATGAATGAAGGCATCTGATTCATCAGCCTTATTTGACTTATATCTGGATTTACAGACAATATCACAATGTAAACACCAAGATCACAGAGAGTACTAAACCACAGATTTAAGCCTAAAATGGTGAATGTGACAAACAGTTACTGAGCTAGTGGGGTTTAAGTCATTAGGAGCCAGAGAGAGTTGGAGCCAAACTTCATCCATGAGCACTTCCCTATTGTGCTTCATTGAGCTAGCGGGTTAGCGTTGTCCGTCTGTATACAGGTGATGAATAGGATAATGAATTATGATGTGACTGACCTGAAACAAAGCAACTTTACTGACAATGCTGTAGTTCACATCTACAGCGATGTCCATCCTCATTTTCTCCGGAAGCTGGATCAATAACTCCTGCTCATCTGTGAAGACATTCAACTCCATTCAATGTATTTATGTATTGCCCTAAATCACAACAGCTGACTTTACAAAGTTGTCAATTCCTCAATAACAGATCAGAGAATCAAACAGTTCAAACGCAGGAAATGCAATAAAAAGCCATTGGTCTACAGGGACTGGGATGACCACTGTCCAGAAAAGTTAATAACTATCCAGGACTGAGGCTGTAGATCCAGGACTGAGACTGCAGATGCAGGACTGAGGCTTTAGATCCAGGACTGAGACTGCAGATCCAGGACTGAGGCTTTAGATCCAGGACTGAGGCTGTAGATCCAGGACTGAGGCTGTAGATCCAGGACTGAGGCTGTAGATCCAGGACTGAGGCTTTAGATCCAGGACTGAGGCTGTAGATCCAGGACTGAGGCTGTAGATCCAGGACTGAGGCTGTAGATCCAGGACTGAAGCTGTGGATCCAGGACTGAGGCTGTAGATCCAGGACTGCGGCTGTAAATCCAGGACTGAGGCTGTAGATCCAGGACTGAGGCTGTAGATCCAGGACTGAGGCTGTAGATCCAGGACTGAGGCTGTAGATCCAGGACTGAGGCTGTAGATCCAGGACTGAGGCTGTAGATCCAGGACTGCGGCTGTAGATCCAAGACTGAGGCTATTGAAAACCGCATAGGACTGGGCTGTGTATACTGGTGCGAAGACCATAGACGGTTGCTAAAGTTTTATTACAGCTTGAACTTTTGTGTATTTTGTCATGTTGCAATGTGCCATTTTTTTTATCATTGATTATTAAGTACATTTACAGACATGAGTCATGGCCTCTAGACCAATTGCTCCTTTCCTTTGTGTTTCTTATTATTGCATTTCCTGGCTTCTAATTGTTTGATTCTCTAATCCCTTGTTGGCGAAGAGACACATCCTGTTTGGCTGTACACAGACACAGGGAGAACATGCAAACTTCACAGAAACAGGGTCCTGGAATCAAACCCAGGATTGCACCCAAAACACATGCCTCTGAGAATAGTGTCTCGTGCTTACCCAGCATGCCCTGGCTCATCCAGGTGTAGTCGTACCAGGTCTTGATCCGGTTCTGCACGTCACGGGGGATGTGGTACGACGTCATGTATTTGACGGTGCTGTCCATACAAGCGCGGTAGTAGTTCTCCCCCGCGGTCGCTGCCCCCACCACGTCCCTCATCTGAGCCACAGAACCAGAAAGAGAGACCAGTGTGAGAGACCAAAGGGAGAGATCAGAGAGAGACCAGAGCAAGACCAGAGAGAGACCCGAGAGAGAACAGAGAGACCAACTGAATGGGTCTCAAATTTAAAAACAAAAGACAGACAGACATTTTTCTCGCGATTCACTGCTCAACATATACAGTAGAAATTCTTACTTTTGTACCAACTGTATATTACTTGACCTAAAATTCTTGTACTGTAAATCTTATGTCCTTATCCTGTATTGAATCGTTGACCAAACACACCGTATCTAATCCCAGATCTGATTGGAGTTTACTTTATTAGATTGCGCTAATGCAGTTAGTGTAATGGAGTTTCTGACCTGTCCGATCATGATGGAGAAGGCAAACACGCCCACAAAGTAGTTGATGAGCTGAAAGCAGATCTCGAAGACAGTGGTGGGGTCTGGCAAGCCCCCGATTGTGATCAGGGTTTTCACAGCAAAGTAATAACAGCGAATGTACCTGCAGGAAATACAGAACACAGTTTAAAATAGGGTTCTTTCTTTTGAAATTCACTAAACAAGGACACACAGTGGCAAGACAGACATACAAGAAAAACCAAAAACACATCTAAAACACTGGATCAGCTCTATATCTCTTCATCAGGGACTCAAGGGATCATGGGGGTTCGCCTAAGTCTGCTTTGTGGATCTAGGGAAGGCGTTGGACCATGTTTCCTTTGGTCCTTTAGGGGGTTCTCCAGGAGTACAGCGTCCAGGGTCCTTTGCTGGGGGCCGTCCGGTCCCTGTATGACCGAAGTCAAATCTGTTCCCAGTGTTGGACTCCCCCCGGGCTGCCCTTTGTCACAGCTTCTGTTCACTGTTCTTGTTTTTCAAGAACAACATTTCTAGGCACAGACAGAGTCCAAAGGCAGTGGTTTGTGGACCACAAGGGCCAGAGGGAGTACGGTTTTGGGACCACAGGTTTCATCTCTACTGTTTGCGGACAATTTTATCCTCTTGGCTTCAACAAATCAGGACCTTCAGCACTGGGACAGTCTGTAGCCGAGAGTGAAGCGACTGAAGACCAGTTCCACCCCGAGGCCATGGAGCTCGACCATCAAGTGGAGAAGTTATAGGCAAGGAAGTCCTTTAGGGAAGGAAGGAGCTGAGACTGACGGATTGGAGCAGCGTGTGCAGTGATACGGTCGCTGTATTGGTAGTGAAGAGAGAGCAGTGTCTGCTGTCACAGCAGTTGATTTACTGCTCAGTACACGTTCTCTCCTTCACTTCTGCTCATAGTCTTTGGGAATTGTCTCGGCCTCGTAAAACGGTGGCCGTTACACATATAACATTTCAATATAGAATCTCATGGAATATCCAGAATCATTTTGGATTTTCAGACAAGAGCAATCAAAGCACTACATAAATTCCACATTCCAGAGACTTACGCGTTTCCTTTCCCATTGTAAACCCACTTGGTGGATCCCAGTCCTTCGTAGTCAGAGCCCACATAGAACAGGCAGGCGTTTATGTGCAGCGAGTAGAGCAGGTATGACGAGGTCCGGATCACTCTGAAAACAAGACCAAACTCTGTGGATCCTAAAGACTGAAGGGGAAACCGCCACATCGATCCCAGAAAATAGCAGGAAAGGTTTATTTGGACCCGTGTTGGCTATAAGCTTTCAAAATAAGTCTCCTAAAGTCACAGCGCAGTGCCCCCAGGACGGGTGAGCGACCAGAGAGAGACCAGAGAAAGACAAGAGAGAGACCAGAGAGCGATAGAGACCAGTGAGAGAGACACCACAGCGAGAGAGAGCAGATAGAGATCAGCCTCTTCCGTATTAATGCTACTGTAACACTATGGTGACGATCTGTGGTTTTTCGCTTTGTGGGAAGGATGCTTTTGGGACCATGATATATAGGTTTTTGGGAACAAAGCTTTTACCTGTAGATGTAGGCCTTCTTCATCACTGCCTCCATTCTGTCGTTGAACTCACTGAAAACGGTGTACTAAATCACAGACACAGAGATTTGGATTCACAAACCGGTTGAGAATAGTTAGTTTGTTATTCTATGATTTAGAACGTGAATAAATGTGTTGAAACAATGTGGGATAAAATAAATTATGTCATTAGTTGGCTAAAAAGGCAGACAAAAAGGCAGAAGGTCCTGATATCAGCGAGGATCTAAAAACAGCTGTAGGTCTGTGACTGTTGTGATGTTGTGAGGATGGGGCTCTGACCTTCAGGAGGCGAGGGAACCGCAGCAGAGAGTTGACTCCAGTGAAATAGTATAAGATCTCCATCGGAAACAAGCTCATCACATCCATCTGGAAGACACACAAGCAGACCATAAAGCAGGAGACATACACACACACACCTAAAACGCACACACGCACACACACACACACCCCTAACACGCAGGCGCGCATAAAACACAAACACTGTCATGAAATATATAAGTTTTACCTTGAACCGCTCCGTAGTCATGTAGTGCTCTCTCATCTCCTTTTTGTCACTCTGTAAAAAAAAAAGATTATATGCATTCATTCATGTATTAAAACACATTCAAAACTATACAGGGAGCATATATTAAAGCTAAGCTAAGATAAGATAAAATAAGATAGACTTTATTGATCTCACAGAGGAGAAATTTACATCTGCCATGGATAGAAACACTCAAGAAGAAAAAACTAATTGTGCAAAGAAAGAATTGTGCAAACATGTTTAATGCAGGATATATTATGCACAATAAAAGTGGCAATGAAGAAACAGTGGCCATAGTAGTGCAGTTTTATTTTATTTTTTTTCATTCTAAGTGCAAGGGACTTAAAGGACAACTCACCCTCAAATCCACTTTTTTTTGCTGATAAACGATATAAATGAGTGTCCAATAGTGTTGTCTACATATCCTGGTCATAATTTTGTCACTTTGGTGCAAATTAGTTGAAAGTTAAACTTTCTGCCTTCAGCTTGTTCAGTCTGCTCCTGTCCCTCTCTGTGCTGCCCGGGGCCCAGCACACGGCAGCGTAGTAAATGGCAGAAGCTACCACAGAGTCATAAAAAGTCCTGAGCAGAGACCTTCTCACTCCGAAGGACCTCAGCCTCCTCAGAAGGAAGAGGCGACTTTGGCCCTTCTTGTACAGGGCGTTGGTTTTATGGAACCAGTACAGTTTTTTTAAATGTGAACACCCAGGTACTTGAAGCTGTCCACCAGCTCAATGTCCTCCCTCTGGATGTTCAGCAGCGTGTGGGAAAGTGGTTTTCTCCTGAAGTCGATGATCATCTCCTTGGTCTTACTGGTGTTCAAGCACAAGTGGTTGCGCTCACACCAGTCGACAAAGTCCGTGATAACCGACCGATATTCCAGTTTGTTCCCCTCAGACACACAGCCCACGATGGCGGAGTCGTCGGAGAACTTCTGCAGGTGACAGCTGTGTGTGTCGTGTGTGAAGTCTGAAGTGTAGATGGTGAAGAGAAACGGTGAGAGGACAGTGCCCTGAGGGGCCCCAGTGCTGCAGACGACCACCTCAGACTCACAGCTGCGCAGCCGCACGTACTGTGGTCGGTCTGAGAGGTAGTTGATGGTCCATGCAGTGAGGCTACTGTCCACTCCCGCGTCCTCCATCTTCCCCTGCAGCAGTGCCGGCCTGATGGTATTGAAAGCGCTGGAGAAGTCGAAAAACATGACTCTCACAGCGCTCCCGGCGGGCTCCAAGAGGGAGAGCGTCCACTGCAGGAAGTAGATGACGGCATCCTCTACTCCGATGTTGGGCCTGTAGGAGAACTGCAGCGGGTCCAGGGTGGGGCTGACCACAGAGCAGAGATGGGTGAGGATGAGCCGCTCCATGGTCTTCATCAGGTGGGAGGTCAGTGCGACTGGTCTGTAGTGAGCCGGTTCCTTGGCGTGCGCTATTTTAGGAACCGGGATTGCACAGGAGGTCTTCCACAGGACAGGGACTCTCTCCTGGCTGATGCTCAGGTTGTAGATGTAGTTGAGGACCTCAGAGCTGAGGTACCTTTCATCAAACCACAAAAACTGGTTCCTCTTTCTCTCAAAACAGTTTGGTTTTTTTGAAATAGTTTTGAATGAATTATCTATGGCCCCCTGGATGATATTCGATTGTTACTTGCCATTGACGCATGAATACGTCAATAGCGTTTTTCACTATTTTCATGTTCTCAGATGTCTAATAGATCTAATATGTATGGGGATTAGCCTTTGAACATAGTTTATTGAGCCAGCAGGTGACAACTGCGCGGGCCCTCGGCTCGCAGCAAATATGTTTTTTTGGCCCTCTGATGTATTTGACTTTGACATGCCTGTACTAGAGAGACCAGAGGGAGACCAGAGATAGACCAGAGAGGGAGGCCAGAAAGAGAGACCAGGGAAAGATCAAAGAGAGAGACCTGAGAGAGAGACCAGAGAGAGATCGGAGAGATAAGAGAGAGACCGGACAGAGAGAAAGAGAGAGAGAGATCTCTCTTCTTGACACCTTTATAAATAACTAGACAATAGTTGATATGTGCTGAAAAAGCAGATGTGGAACTTTATGTTCCGTTTTTCCAACCTATTCGAAGCGCCCCATCCCTGCACTGACCACTATGTCTCCGCCGCGCACAAACTGCAGTCTGGGCTGGAACACCAGGATGTCCAGGATGTAGATGAGGTCGCAGCTGTAGTCCATCATGAGCCACAGGTGGATGTTCTCAGGGGTCTGGTACGGGAAGGCCCAGCGCACCGGGATCAGCCACACGTTCCAGTTCCACGCCGCCACCACCAGGAAGAGCCAGAACACGTAGATCAGGTCTGAAGGGGAACAAACAGAAGAAAAATTGCAATAATTATCCAATGTATCCAAAGCATAGACTGTATAAGGGGGAAGATGTTATAGTGGTTATCTGACATGGGATGGACAATGCTAACCCTATGCTAGCTCTATGGAGACTAATGAAAAGTGCTGAGAGAGAGAGAGACCAGAGAAAGAACATAGAAAGCCAGAGAGAGACCAGAGAAAGAACATAGAAAGCCAGTGAGAGATCAGATAGAGACCAGAGAGAGAGAGAAAGGAAGAGAGGGAGACCTGGAGACCAGGGAGATACCAGATTATCAGATAGAGATACCACAGAGAGAGCAGAGAAATCAGAGAGGGAGAGACCAGAAAGAGAGAGTGAAAGAGACACACCTGATACCAGGGAGATACCAGATAGAGACCAGAAAGAGAGAAAACAGAGAGAGAGAAGAGAGACCAGAAAGAGCAGAGAGATACCAGTTAGAGATCAGAGAGATAGATATAGAGAGAGCAAAGAGAGAGAACAGAGAGACCAGGGAGAGAGACCAGAAACAGTCACCTGAGAGGTAGAAACAGTGACCGGAGAGAGACCAGAGAGAGGTACCAGAGAGACCAGTAGGAGAGACCAGAAAAAAGTTACTGATATAAAGTGGATCGGACCCCAGGCACCAGCTCCATCACGTACCAGTGAAAGGGTCGATGCTGGAAGGGAAGCGGTACTGGAGAATGGCCCACACCCAGTCGGGCATCGGAGGAGGTTTGGGGATGGGGAGCTTCAGCGGCTGCCCCAAAATTTCAATTTCAAACTCCATCCAAATGCCCTCCTCCTTCTCCTCCTCACCAGCAGGTGGCGCATCCTTCTTCTCGTCTCCGGGGGGAGGAGGGGGAGGAGGGGGTGGGGCTTTAGCTGGAGCTGGAAAAAACAAAAAGACACAGAATTAAAGCTGGGGGACTCAATTTCACAATGTGTTCTAATGATCTCTAGGTCATCATTTACAATCATGAATAGTCACTTATTAATATCCTTTTTAACAGGACGATCAGGATGGCTTACCACTGCAAAAGTTCCTGAACTTACTGAATCTCACCTTGTTAGCACGTTAGATACACTTTTATTAAATCATTAATGTTGCATTGTATACTTGCACTATTGCACTTTTGGCTCTAAAGTACCAAATTGTGGCTGCGTCCTTTGGCAAGACACTGAATGAGTCTGGTGTGTGTGAAAGGTTGGTGGTGGTGGGCGAGGGGCCAATGGCACGGATGGGTTACCTCACTTCTGTCAGTGTGCTCACTGGGTTCACTCCATACACTGCATAAGTCCATACTGAATTATATTGAATTATTGTGATAGCAGCTCAAAGAAAAAAGTTGCACAGTGCAGCCTTATCTCGACCTGAACTGTGTCCCTGTGCTCAGAACTCTACAACTCTAGTGTTTTGCACAGCACAGTCTTCCCCCGGTGGAGGTCCCACTCACAGGCTTTGGGGCTATCCTCCTCCGAGTCGTCAGGATCCACCAGTTTGTCTTTCTTGGTCTCAGTTCGTCCTTTGAAGAGTCGCACCAGTTCATTGAGTCGATCCTGCACCACCACAGAGCCCACACTGGCTGCAGAGGCAGGGCGCCCCCTATAGGACAACACACACACACACACACACACACACACCGAAACACACAGACACGCACACACACGCGCGCACACACACACACACACACACACACACACACACACACACACACACGCACACGCACACGCACAGACACACACACACACGTACCCACACACAGACACGCACACACAAGCTTTACCTGCAGTGCTTCCCAAACTGTGGGGCTCAAACTCAGGCAGTGGATTAAAGCAGAAAACCACACTCCTATCACTTTGCAGTGGTGGTTATGAAATGTTTATTGTCGATCTATTTTTACAATAAGACTTTTCAAACTTACTACTACGTTAATAATAAGTAGTAATAATATTAATACTGTGTTTGACCCTGCAATGTCCTGGTTTGGGCCATGACTTTCAGAGTCCTAACTGAACAGACTTGTGGATCTTACTCTTCCTCCGCACTGAGCAGGTCTGCTTGGCTTCCCCAGGTCTTCAGAGGTTCCTCTGATTCTTCAGAGAATAACTGTTCACCGGTCGGACTAAAGACAAAAGAAAAACAAACAGAAAATGAGGAATCTAGGACGTTTCTTTGCACAAATTACAAACATGAACATAAACACTGTGATGTCGGCCTTTTTCAATCAAACTTTACTACATTTGCTTGATGTACTTCATACACAAAATGTCTTATAGTTTATAAGTATATTTTAAATATCTTACTTTATAGTGGTACTAATATCATTTATCCATGGTTCTTGTGAAATTATGTGTTTTTGGTTGTTACTTACAAAGGTGGCAAGTTCAGTTTGTAACACCCAATCACGTGCAAGGATCCACAATTGAAACGATACAGTTATCATCTTTTAATATCCAAGTCTTATTCAAGAAAATCATATCCCTAGTGTGGCACCTGAGCCTGATGATCCTAGTGTGGTACCTGAGCCTGATGATCCTAGTGTGGTACCCGAGCCTGATGATCCTAGTGTGGTACCTGAGCCTGATGATCCCAGTGTGGTACCTGAGCCTGATGATCCCATTGTGGTGCCTGAGCCTGATGATCCCAGTGTGGTACCTGAGCCTGATGATCCCAGTGTGGTACCTGAGCCTGATGATCCCAGTGTGGTACCTGAGCCTGATGATCCTAGTGTGGTACCTGAGCCTGATGATCCTAGTGTGGTACCTGAGCCTGATGGCCCTAATGTGGTACCTGAGCCTGATGATCCCAGTGTGGTACCTGAGCCTGATGATCCTAGTGTGGTACCTGAGCCTGATGGCCCTAATGTGGTACCTGAGCCTGATGATCCCAGTGTGGTACCTGAGCCTGATGATCCCAGTGTGGTACCTGAGCCTGATGATCCTAGTGTGGTACCTGAGCCTGATGATCCCAGTGTGGTACCTGACCCTGATGATCCCAGTGTGGTACCTGAGCCTGATGATCCCAGTGTGGTACCTGAGCCTGATGATCCTAGTGTGGTACCTGAGCCTGATGATCCCAGTGTGGTACCTGAGCCTGATGATCCCAGTGTGGTACCTGAGCCTGATGGCCCTAGTGTGGTACCTGAGCCTGATGATCCTAGTGTGGTACCTGAGCCTGATGATCCCAGTGTGGTACCTGAGCCTGATGGCCCTAGTGTGTGTTCCTAGCGTAGTACCTGAGCCTGATGGTCCCAGTGTGGTACCTGAGCCTGATGATCCCAGTGTGGTATCTGAGCTTGATGGCCCTAGTGTGTGTTCCTAGCGTAGTACCTGAGCCTGATGGTCCTAGTGTGTGTTCCTAGTGTGGTACCTGAGCCTGATGGTCCTAGTGTGTGTTCCTAGTGTGGTACCTGAGCCTGATGGACCCAGGAACAGAGAGGGTGCTGCCCTCATTGTCTGCTGTGGTCAGGATCAGAGGGATCTGCAGAGATCTGGTCTGGGCTGAGTCTGGATCCACCTGCTCCACCTTCAGCTGCGGAGGGTTCACTGGGATACAGATGAAGATACTATTACTACTACTACTACTACTACTACTACTACTACTACTACTACTACTACTGCTATTACTACTATTGCTACTGCTGTTACTACTACTACTACTACTGCTATTACTACCAATACTGCTGTTACTACTACTACTACTACTACTGCTACTACCACTACCATATCACTACTACTAGTGCTACTGCTACTACTACTACTACTACTGCTATTATATTACTTCTACTACTGCTACGACTACTACTACTACTACTACTGCTATTATATTATTAATACTACTGCTACTTCTACTACTACTACTGCTATTATATTACTACTACTATTGCTACTACTACTACTGCTACTACTACTACTACTACTACTACTGCTATTATATTACTACTACTACTGCTTACTGCTGTTACTACTGCTACTGCTATTGCTACTACTATTATATTACTACTGCTGCCTTTGCTATGTCTGCCACTACTACTGTTATTACTATTACTACTACTACTACTACTACTGCTGCTACTGCTATGTCTGCCACTACTACTGTTATTACTATTACTACTACTACTACTACAACAGCAGCGATGGTGAAGTTCACCTGAGCCATGGTGGGCAGTCACTTGCAGGATGGAAGCAGCACTGATCAGTTACAGGGTGAGGAGAGGATGGAAAGCAGCGGTGTGCAGTGTTGTGGGCAGAGTACTTTGAAAATGATTATGTATTTTGCCACATGGTTCAATCAGAGTACTACATTGTAAATATGTAAAACTCATTTGCATAATATTTGGTGTAAGAATTCTTTACAAATTTTGCAGGAGCTATTCCAGACAAATGTAGATGTATATATGGATATCCTTTGGCACTTTCATTTGTAAACTTTAAAATGCAACTCAAACTTATTAGACGTAGCTTGGGAATCGGCGCAAATCATCTTGGAGTTTCCAAATCATTTTCATTCGAGAATATTTTTACATAGATTTGAGAACCAATCACAAAACAAGGAACGGCAAGGGACACATCTGGTAGTAAACAAATGTATGGATTCACTTTTCATTACGTCATCTCCTCCTATAAATTTGGTCATCGGTATCGCAGGCTATTAAGGCAGTATTTTGGATTTTTATATGCTTAAGCAGAGAGTAATCTGCTCTGGTTGTGTAGGGAAGACACTCAAACAAGAGGAGATCTCACATAAGCCAGGCTGTATCAGTTGCCTAATTATTAGTGCATCCAAGGCATGGATCTATAATAATAACTGGATAGGGTATTACTAGCTTAAAGCTGTCCCACCTATGGGCACAGGGGGCGCCCGTGGTACTGCAAACTAAATTCATGCGGGCTACTCAGAATAAAATCCCATAGAACTCAATGTAAATTAAAACAGCTCAACCTCAGCTGACAGAGAACCTACAGCTTTCAGAAATATCGGATTTGGGGGGATTTTTGTGTCCCTTGTCATCCTGAACTTTTTTCTTCTTAAATCCTTCGGTTTTCTTTAAATCCACACTTTACTGCCACAAACTTTGCTCCTGTCCTTCCTGCTCTGGCTCTGCTCTGATCAGTAGCTCTGATTGGTCAGAGCGCAGCCGTGCGCGTGCATGAAAGCCACACACGCGTATTTGGCGCAACGCATCATGGGAGCTCGTCCACTGCGCAGAACCAAGAGGACCAGACGATGCCCAAATATAGGCGAGTTCTGCTAATCTCTCTGTCTCCGTGAAGTCCCATGCGCTACTGAGCACAAGCCATTCATTTGAATAGGGCGCCATCTTGGATCACTGGGGCTTGATCCAGGGGTGTAAAATACAGGGGGAGAGGTAGGTTACAATTGCCCCAATATAAACCTATAACTAATTAAACTCTCTTTTTGGCCAAATATTTGTCTTATTGTAACTGTGTTTCTATGGATGAAATTTGACTTGTTAATGAAGGATATCGCATCATTTTGGTTAATATTTTTGGACCCCAAACTATACGCTCTTGAGTTGAGTTGAGGCTAATTTAAAAGCTACTTGAAGGCTACTTTTGCGTGGGCTGGGTTGATGTCTCAGGTTGCGACTGTTCATTTGCCTCTGTGTGGTTTTCCTCGGCCTGATAGCATGGGTTAAACTGTCTTATTCTGCTGACAAGGCTCAGGCAGTATTGCTGGGCCTGTTTGGGCAAATCTGCTATCTCCTGTGCAAGCAGGGCCAGCTCCGCAGGGGGAGCGGGCAGGGAGAGGCTGGGGGGGCTCAGGTACTGGTCGTGCATCATCTTCTTGCAGCTCTCCAGGTACTGAGCGGCCAGCGGAAAGCGAAGCATGAAGGTCTGCAGAGGCGAGCAGATAGTGGGGGCTGAAGGACAGAGCAGCACCGGTGAGAAAGCTGCGAGTGAAGTACAGTAGTAAGCATTAAAGCTGGAGTACCTGACTTTCAAAGCACAGCAATGGAACTATGTTATAAAAATGAATCCATAGTTCCTTGTTCTCAAAATAGTTGCTTCTATCACTCGTTATCACAGGCATTTCTGTCCTCCAGAAAAGTTAAAAAGAGCGGACCCCCGTCAACTCAGCAAATCAGCTCTCCAATCAAGTTGTGATAAACACAGCAGAGTCGCTGGACATTCCCTTACTTGAAGTAGAGGCGGTTCTCGTCCACTTGGAGAAGAGCCTATTAAGGTGGCTCGCGCATCTGTTTGGAATGCCTCCTGGCCTCCTCCCTGGGCATGTCCTAGTGTGTCCTGGGACTAGAGGAAGACCCAGGACACACTGGAGGGACTGTGTCTCTCAGTTAGCCTGGGAACACCTCATGATTTTCCCAGATGAGCTGGAGGATGTGTGTGTGGAGAGAAAAGTCTGGGTGTGTCAAAGGCAGCATAGACAATGTTGTGATATGATTAATTCACAATATTTTACGTTTGTATTCCCTTGGGATAAACAACATTATATGTGCTAAAAAGTGACGGACCCCAGCTTTAAAATAGCAGCAATAAAAAGCCCGCTGCTCACTCTGGTAAATTTACATCTTGTGATGTCACAAAACATTGAAAATCTTACATCCACATCCACTTTCCTCTGTGGCTCCAGTCAGGACCTAAAAATAAAGACAGAAAAGAAGAAAAGATAAAACTTTCTTGCATAGAGGTGATGTCACCTGAATTGAAACGCATGGATCTGTGCTCCTCCCCCTGTGAGCCCCCCTCCCCCAACCACGCGGTGACGTCCTGTCTTGTTTACCTCCAAAGCTAACTGTTCATCTTTCGGTACAAAGTGGCACATCAGACCTGAGAACATGTATTTTCCAACAATGGCGTCCCGTCACATGGACCTTAATTATTTAGTCAACAGTCGTGTACCACCAGTTAGTAGGACTGTACTTACAGATCCATACTCCTCGTTTGTGTCTTTTATTGTGGGAATAACACCATGTTTCAGGACCAGCTTTTGAGTAAGTCCAGTTTCAAGGTAAATAAGCAGTTTCATGGATTTCAAAGTCAGTTCCAGTGAATAGAAAGTCCAGCTACATTTGCCTCATTCTTTGTCTTTGGGAAAACCAAATAGTGTCGTCACATATTTACCCCCAAAAACAAATTTTCTCTAAGTTTACTTAATGCGAACACTTTTAGTCGCGGAAAAAAGCAGAAAATCAGTAGCATGATGTGGAGAAGCTGTGCGCGCTTATTTGCTGTTTTGATTTCTCCCCTGTCAATCACCTCCTGGAGGCAGGCTACTCTCGCTCGTGCCACGTCATCGATGTCAGAGAGAGTCCAGAGAGAGACCAGAGAGAGACCAGAGAGAGACCTGAGAGAGACCAGAGAGAGACCAGAGAGGGACCTGAGAGAGACCAGAGAGAGACCAGAGAGAGACCAGAGAGAGACCTGAGAGAGACCTGAGAGAGACCTGAGAGAGACCTGAGAGAGACCTGAGAGAGACCAGAGAGAGACCAGAGTGAGACCAGAGATGGTTAACTTAAATGATATTATATTTGAAGTTGTTGGGAGTATACACACAGAGCAAGAAGAAGACCAAAAATTAAAAACAGCAAGGAGGGGAAAGGTGAACCATGTTATATTGAGGGATCACTGGACTCACTATCAAAATATATATATTGTGAACTAATTGATGATAAGAATACCCTTGTACAAGGACGTTACAAGAATCTAACTTCTGAAAAGCAATGAAAGTGTATCTCCTCACAGTGTCTGCGCAGGTGGGCGGGGCTTCTGTGCAGGTGGGCGGGGCTTCTGCGGTCTGTGGTTGTTGTGTGATTGGTTTGGACTCCTCTTTCTGCTCTGTGATTGGCGTTGGGTCTTTCTCTGGAGCCACAGTTTTGTCAGGGGCCGGCTCCACTTTGTCTGTTTGCTCCACGGCGCCATCAGCAGGACACACGTCAACGAGAGAACTGAGGGAACAAGAACGTCAAGAAATGCCTTTGAATTCATCTAAAGACTAACATGCAGAAATCTGTTATGATGGTTATCACCAGCAGGTATTAGGAGGTATTGAAATAATTATGATAATACATGGTTTTCATATTTGAGGTTTCCAGCTGATATTGTGGCTACACCAAGAAAAGTGCTTCACATAATTCATTTCTATACTATTTTATACATTTTGATTGGTTCAAAAAGTTTGTTTCTTTTTTTGTTTTCCAAATATCATTGTTTTTGTTTTTACTAATTTTAATGACAGTTTGTTTTTCCTGAAACCAATTTGCATTTTTGCATAGTTCTGTTGTAATTTCAGTCATATAAATGCCATTTATGCACAATAGGAATAGTTTTGGTCCCAAAAAAGATCCTTGGGGTACTCCACACACTATAGTTCTTCTTCTTGATGTGTACATACCTGTACATACTGTTGTCTGTTATTCATTCAAATATGATATGATTTCACCCATTTTTGTACTATTTCCCAGATTCCATATCTATTTAATTTAGGGCTGTCAAACGATTACATTTTTTTAGTTGATTAATCGCACAGTAATGGTGAATTAACTCGCATTTTTTACATTCTATTTCAAATCCACTCCAATTGAAGTCAAATGAGATTATCAAATGTAATCGCACATTATCATTCATACCAAATGTACTGAAATCTGTTTGATTCACAACATTTTGCTTTTGGGCACAACCAAAATGAGCTGTTAATGAAAGGGGGAAATTTACGTACTCCAGCTTTAAAGAAGCTATAACGATTTTTTTTCTAAGTAGTTCATAAAAATGCTTTTTACTACATACAAGTTGTATCATAATACATAATTTAATTGAAAACTTGAGGTCATTGATTCAGCTGTGTAAGAATTACAAGCAGTGAAAAGTGCTGAGTAGAGTCTGAGCGGGCCGCTCGTTCTCCTCCCCTCACAGAACGAGCAGCGAGCAGCCTGCGTCCTCTAGCCTCTACTGCGCTGCTTAACACCAGGGCTTCGACTTCAAAATTCGAATATAATTCTAAAATAAAAAATATACATATACATATATACATATTTGAACAAATATTAGACAACCCTTATAATTCGAAATGTATTTAATGACTGCAAATAAAATAGTTAGCTCCCAAAGGTTTCACCGGGACGTGCTAGGCAGGTAACAGCTAAGCATGGATCTATTATAATAACTGGATAGGGTATTACTAGCTTGTAGCTGAATAACTCACGTGGGGGATTCTCTTGGTACTGCAGACTGAACCAGACTAAATTCACGTGGGCTACCCAGAATTTTTCCCCATAGAACTCAATGCATATTAAAACAGCTCAACCTCAGCTGACAGAGAACCTACAGCTTTAATAAAGATCGGATTTTGTGGGGATGTTAGTGTCCCTTGTCATCCTGAACTTTTTTTCTTCTTAAATCCTTCGGTTTTGTTTAAATCCACACTTTAGTGCCACAAACTCTCCTCGTCTGGCTCTCGCTCTAACTCCCGCTCTGATGAACTGCTCTGATTGGTCAGAGCGCGGCCGAGCCCCTCTGTGCACGTGCGTGAGACCCGGTGTGAGACCCACACACGCGTGTTTGGCGCAACGCATTATGGGAGATCATCCACTGCGCAGAACCGGGAGGACCAGACGATGCCCCAAATACAGGCAAGTTTCACATAGATCTTTGCAAGTTTCAGGCGACTTCCGCTAATCTTTCAGCCCCCATGCCGTCGCAAAGCGCCACTGAGCACAACCATTCATTTGAATAGGGCGCCATCTTGGATCGCCGGGGCTTGCAGCTAAGCCAGCTAGCTGTTTCATGGTAACTTCCGGGTTTTTCGTTGACAGCAAATTCTGAAATCGTCCATGCATGTGTGTTAAGGATGTATATGTATACTGTATTGTCCGATTAACAGTTAATGGTGTTGATTGATAGATATGTAGTTGTTTATTGAGCGTGGCTAGCTCCGCTAGCTTCTCTACACAGACAAGTGTGCAGAGAAACTGCACAGTGTAGTGACAGGCGCTGATAGCTTGTTGTACTTGAGTAATGGCAGTATTTTACACACCTGAATTACAAACAGAGATTGCATTGGGGCTGCGGTCATTATTGATTTGAGAGTTCTGTTATCAAGAAAAAATGATCGGAAGAATTGCATTCAAGTCAATGGAGTGCTGCTGCTTTGAGGAGCTCTATAACAAATTATAATTAAATATTAGAATATATTCTAATGTTTAAATTAATAAACATTCAAACATTGCAGAAACGGGTGTAGCGCCTTTAATTCAGCAACTTTAGTTTCAGGAGGAGACACGGACACTTTTGCGGTGTATTTGCGTGCATAGATTACGCAGAGGTTGCAAAGACACAAACACAACATGCAGACAATAGTTCTATGGCGTGTTTGGTCTTATATGACCATGTTACCACGGCGCCACTCAATCACAGCCGCTCACAGCCGTGTTGTTGTTGCGGCTCACAGCCAGAGCGGCCGCGGAGGAGGCGGACCACAGTTCACAGCAAACAACAGCCCCGCGGTCACACGTGTATTCTTTTAAAACTTGAATTCCCAGAGGGCCTACCTGCTCTGATGCATCTCACACGCAGCATTCTGAGTGTTACTATGGATAAATGGACGGGTCTTTCGGACATGCGTTAATTTTTTTTTAACGTGTTAATGAAAATTTTTATTAACGTGAGTTAACGCGATCATTTTGACAGCCCTAATTTGATTTTTTACGATGTATACAATGGTCAATTGTATCAAATGCCTTCTAGAGATCAATCAATATGCCTAATGAGTGCATCTTGTCAATTCTGTCTGTTAATTTCTTCCAGGAGATCGTTGAGTGCAAGTGAGGTTGACCTATTCAGGGCTTAAAGTTTTCCAACACTTTTTTTTTTTTTTTTTTTTTTTTAATATATATATAAATAAATAATGATTGCTGTCATTTGAAAAAGGTTCAAGTGTGTTCTACCAATTGTATGAAAGGATTGCATGTGTATAGCGCAGGGATTAAAGAGTTCCGTCTAAGTGACGGATTTCCGTCAAATGAAATTGGTCTGAAAAAAAAAACAAAATATATAATAATAATATAATACACACAATGAAATGGTTAATTATAACAAAATATATAGTAATACGTGTGAATCTGTTGTATATATCTAGATATATATTAATAATTTGAATATAATTGTATTTATATGTATATAGAAATAAAAAGTAATATAATCACGAGTGGGCCTTGAACGTGCCGTGGCTAGCTACATGAGCGCTCCGTAAATGATTCAAGGCAATGGGACGTAGCCAAGTTAGCGATGATAACACGGAGGTGAAAGTTTCTGAAAAGTGCACGGAGCTTTTGAAAAGGAGAAGAGGACAAGGAAAATTTAATCCCGAACGGAGCAATAACAGCCAGCAGCCCGCGGACCGGTAAGCTAGGCGCGTTATCAGAGGAAAGGTAGGACATAATTAACGTTTACCAAACGCAATGCTTTTTTATTTAACGGAATGTACAATATGTACTTTGCTGTGACTGGGAATGGGGACAAGCATGTCTTGGTGAGCTTTTGATAATATCTTGGTGGCGATCCCCATGCAAAACTGCGTGATAAAAAGAGCCAATCAACGAGAGCGAACGGAAGAAACTCGCTGAAGAAAGGTGTGTGTTAGCAGGTCTTATATTCATTCATCAAAGCTAGCCTAGCATGCACGCACAATCACAATCATGGATCGTTGTTTATGGAAGAAGGAGCAGTATAAGTTGCTGTTGATCAGTGAAAAATAAATGGAGGTGGGCATGGCTGGATGAGGTGGAGACGATGGGATTCTGTTGCTTCCTGGTGCAAAAAGATGAAGGTGTCCGGTGCTTGTTCGTACTTCGCTATTATTATTTTTTTATATGGGAGTAATGATAAAACAGCTTTGGATTCACCACCAGCTCAAAACTGCGCACTTGGCAGCTGTCCGTGCACTTTCCCACACTTCTTTACCTGGTGCATCAGATTTAGCGACAACTGAGACTAGGCTTGCTCTGGTGGACTGTGTCTGTGACCTAAAACTATCTGTGGCTTTATCGCAGAAAATAACCTGTCGTTCAGAACCATCACTACCGCTGGTAGATTTAATTATCATTAATCATTTGCAGTTGATAAAACTGCGCTGTGCACTAGCACCAAGTTGATAGGGAAACCTTTTTCTTAAACATTGAGTGTCCACAAACAAATGTGGACAGAATTTTGAATGTCCTTTTGCGATATTTTGACGAGGACAGAGCCAAAGGACAACGCCTCATCTCGCCTCAAGTAAAGCCAATGATGCAGATGAACTACTCTCACTAATATTCTGTCAAAGAGTTGACAAGTTGCTTGATCCACTGGTTGTAATTTCACATCAAAATACACCAGTTTAAATGTATATCTTTGAAGAATTCGTTTGATCTGTAATTCATTATATTTCCATGAGAACATTTTCAGTCAAATCTTTTTTTTTTGCTTTAACCCCTGGCCGCTTATAAAAAACGCTTATTAGTGATCATTCTATGATTCATATAGATGGTTCAGGCTCAGGAATTTTTTCAACTTTAACCCATGCCTATTTTTCCTCGGGCTACTGTATATTGGCTATCACTGATTAGGTCGTGTTTATCAGTGAAACTAACTGGAAGCTTGGGAAGTATTGAGATTCGACAGTAAGCTCTGGGTACTCTCCTGTAAGTAGGGAATAATTTAATATTATGTTCAAGAGGGCTATATCATGTATTAATTAGTGGGAGCAGGTCCCAGCTCAAAAAGATCCATGAGCATGTGCGCTGACATGCTTACAATCTCACTCCTAGCCAGTCAGGGTAGACCCAGAGAGAGAATTACCCAATGCCTTTGAATGCCGTCTTCTTTCCTCTCAAAAAACGACTTTACAGGATGGTCTAAAAGTCAGCTCTTGGCAGGGAGCTATGTTCCAGATGTGTGTCAATGCTGAGGGGAGTATTTTTTTGGGGACCACTCTAGTTTAGCCTCTGCAGACTTTGGAATACACTCGTTAAACAAATGGGGCTCATGCCGGCTAACGCATGCATTTTTTCCCATATTCCTGCACCGCACAAATAATGCAAATGCAAAGGTGGCACATTAGTTTCAACGGCAAAGATAGACATGACTACGCTGGTTAATATTTACAGTCTATGCTGGTATTTATGTTAGCGTCGTCCATCAGTATATAGTCCATGTTAGCGTCCTTCAGTATACAATCTCTGCTATGGACCAATGGCTCCTATGAGGTTTGTTATCATTGCATTTCCTGTGTGTGAACTGTTTGATTCTCTGATCTGTTGTTGGAAAACTTTGTAAAGTCCTCTAAGACAGCTGCTGTTGGGATTTATGGCGATACACACAAAATACATTGTCCTGAATGACCACGGCCTCCCTTTACCTACCTCTTTATGCCCGTTCTGACAGTAAAACGTTTAGAAAAAGAAACACATACAATTTAAATGATTGAAACGTTTTAAAAGTTAGAGCTATTTCTAAACTCTAAGCCAAAGCAGCTCTACCTACAGAAGTGGGCAAAAAAGTGGGAATAAACTAAACCGATAAGAAATAATAATAATGCAGATGGAGTACATGGGGAACTGTACGCCATGACAGAGATGCTCGTCTTTATGATAGAGGAAGCAATAAAGAGTACGTAGCTTAATGTAGGACTAATTTTAAATCTGTGTTTTTGTGTGTCTGTGTGCGTGTCTTTGTGTGTGTGTCTCTACGTTTGTATGTCTCTCTCTGTGTGTGAGTTTGTCTCTGTGTGTGTGCCTGTGTTCTTATGTGTCTATCTGTGTCTCTATGTGTGTATGTCTCTCTCTCTGTGAGTGTGTCTCTATTTGTGTGTGTGTGTGTTGTTTTGTCTGGATTGGATTCTTCTGCATGGGTGTGTGAGTATGTGGGCCATTAATGTGAGTGTGTGTGTGTGTGTGTGTGTGTCTGTGCGTATTTTCTGTGCTGTGTGTATGTGTGTGTCTGTGTGCCATGTGTGTGTTTGTGTGCGTAAGTTTGTATATGTTTGTCCAATCCTTTTTGTACGTGTTATTTGTCTGTTATATTGATATACTGTAGGTGAAAATATGTGTTGTGCAGGTTCCAAATAAATAATATAAACCTAACAATTGATGTATCTCCAAAAACGAGACTGATTTAATGTTCTGGGGGAAAAGAAACTCGTTCAGAAGTGATGGAACAAAACGTACGACTGATTCAATGTGTTCAGAAGAAAGATTTTTATGATTGAAGCAGAGAACAGGCAACACAAACAACAAATTTAACAAAATAACAAATATTTTTAGAAAACTTGGGAGAAAAACAAGAGGTCTTTACAATCTATGTGGTACACCAAGTGCTTTGTGTGATCTTGGTCTATGAAATGCACTATTTAAATAAAGATTACTCAATTACCTTGAAATTGGTAATATGGTTACAATGGCAATACTGTATGTGCCAAAAATTAGATTATTTATTTAATAATACAGTATTTTATAAATTAGCGACGGGAATTATACCGATATCAGCATTGGTGATATTAATAAAAATGGATCTGAGTCAAAGCTTGCGTACCTAACTTTCAAACCGCTATGAATAGATGCACTGTAATACAATCCATGTCTCTAGTTCCTGGCTCTAAAACAGTTAGCTTTGATCACTAGTTTTCACTGGTCTTGGTCTGAGTCCAGGGTCTTGATCTTGGTCTAGTTTTCACATGCATGTATTTTGGGGTGTTTGCAAATACCACACACTCTGAGAAGGGAGAACGCTAACCACTCAGCCACCGTGCCTCCCAAGCACTAGTCCCTTGCTCTCAGAAACAGAGGGAGTAAAGGACCAGAGACACAGAGTTTATTCCATAGCTTCAATTGTCTGAAGCTAGAAAATTAGGTACCCCAGCTTTAGCAAGACGAAAGCATAAAGCATAACGACCTGAGTAGAATAAAAGCTTTGGTCTCTTTCTGGTCTCTCTCTGGTCTCTCTCTGGTCTCTCTCTGGTCTCTCTCTGGTCTCTCTCTGGTCTCTCTCTCGTCTCTCTCTGGACTCTCTCTGGTCTCTCTCTGGTCTCTCTCTGGTCTGTTTCTGGTCTCTCTCTGGTCTCTCTCTGGACTCTCTCTCTGGTCTCTCTCTGGTCTGTTTCTGGTCTCTCTCTGGTCTCTCTCTGGACTCTCTCTGGACTCTCTCTCTGGTCTCTCTCTGGTCTCTCTCTGGTCTGTTTCTGGTCTCTCTCTGGTCTCTCTCTGGACTCTCTCTCTGGTCTGTTTCTGGTCTCTCTCTGGTCTCTCTCTGGACTCTCTCTCTGGTCTGTTTCTGGTCTGTTTCTGGTCTCTCTCTGGTCTCTCTCTGGTCTCGCTCTGGTCTCTCTCTGGTCTCTCTCTGGTCTCTCTAGTCTCTGTCAGATCCTCTGCAGCAGCAGCTTGTACATTTTCTTCTATTTCTGAAGCTGAAATGTCTCTTACTGATGCACGGCCTTCTGCTCTTTGGTTAAATCCTCGTCGCTGTCCTCCTTCAGTTTTTGCAGCCTGTGTAATTGAAATAGATAATCGTTAATCAACTCTGGAATTATTTAACTTTTTTTTTCTAAATGAAATGGATTTAAAGTGGACATTTTGACTCATTGTTGCTATGATTTAATGCGGGAGAAGCTGATTTGTGTATTACAGCCCCGGTTCCACCAGCCCTACTGGTAGAATCGGGCCAGCCCTAGAAACAGTACTAACTCAGCTCCCTAGACCCTATATATTCTGTTAATCAAGGGAACACAGGACCCTTTTTTGGTGGGGGGAATGCTTCGATGGACCAATCATCTGACAGGTTCTTATTATATTTAGATAAGACATTGCTGAACAGTCAGCTCTGGGTCAAGTTTACACCATAGTGTTTTGAGTCCCATCCAAATCTTTCCCCTATCCGGCAGGGAAAAGACTTCTGGATAGGATTCAAATCCAGGCCAAAATTCTTCTTTCATGGATCACTTCCGGACGAACAAGGCATTAAACTACTGTGTTTCCAAATAGAAGCACTTTATTCATGGGCAAATACACACTGTACTAAAGCATTGGGGAGCAAATCAAGCGCTATGTTCTGTCTCACACTTACTCAGGGTCCTCCTCATTCTCCTCCTCCTGGATGTTGGGCAGACTGGACAAAACACAGGCTTTATGTTGTGGTAGTTTGTTGCTGTTGCAAAAGAATAGATAGTAGCAGCAGAAATCGTCAAAGTAAACTATAGTTTCAGACACGTAAGATTCCTTCACTGATATTTGAGCCTTGAATACATTTTTGCATGAAGCCATACTGTATGGTGGTGTTAACATAGGTTGTAGGTCGAAATATTTCTAGTATGATTTTGAACTCTCATGTAAGAGTATGAATCTAAACTCTTTCACCCATTTTGATTCTCTTGTTCAGTGGAAGATAGTGCCATCACTCAGCCAATCATATCTAAGTATATGATTGGCTGAGTGATAGGTTTTCTCATTAGACAGCATGTTGTGGTCTCATTTACATAAATACCAAGCATTATTGTTGGCCATTTAGAATAATTAGACTGTGTTTGTTGTAATGTCATGTTTCAGAATGTCAAATATTATCATGAGAATGGTAAACCAGTATACAGGCTAAGAATGCATTCTACCTGTAACTCTATAGTCTGCCACCAGAGGGAAACTGAAAAATGTTTTTATTTGAAAAGAGAACATAATTTCACCTGAGAATTGACCAAAACAAATGTATGGGCAATGCTTATTTTGGCTTGAATAGATCAAAATACAGCTGTTGTAGCAGAATTAAAAGCATAATATATGTCTCCTTTGAACAAGTTAAGTGTCTGTCCAGTCCACAAAGATACATTTTGGTGAGAAAACAAAAAAAAAGGTACTCCAGCTTTAACTGTGGCGTGAAAACAACCAGTCGTTAGAACACTCACTGTTCTGTTGTGTCGGGAATGGAGTCCAGGACAATCTTCGCTGCTTGCTCCTGTTCCAGCTGTCGCACCGCCTCCTGAGCTGCTCTCATGGCCAGCTCTTCAGCCGCTCGGGCCGCGGCCAGACCGTCTACTGGAGGCCTGGTCATCAGGAACAACCACAAAAATCAGCACAGACAGCCTCAATCCTGGATCTACAGCCTCAATCCTGGATCTACAGCCTCAGTCCTGGATCTACAGCCTCAGTCCTGGATCTACAGCCTCAGTCCTGGATCTACAGCCTCAGTCCTGGATCTATAGCCTCAGTCCTGGATTTACAGCCTCAGTCCTGGATCTTCAGCCTCAGTCATGGATCTACAGCCTCAGTCCTGGATCTACAGCCTCAGTCCTGGATCTACAGCCTCATTCCTGGATCTACAGCCTCAGTCATGGATCTACAGCTCCAGTCTTGGATCTATAGCCTCAGTCCTGGATCTACAGCCTCAGTCATGGATCTACAGCTCCAGTCTTGGATCTATAGCCTCAGGCCTGGATCTACAGCCTCACTGCCTCAGTCCTGGGTCTACGGCTTCAGTCCTGGATGTACAGCCTCAGTCCTGGATCTAAATCCTCAGTTCTGGATCTACGGCCTTTGCCCCAGACATATCTGACATGGACAATGTAATCTCTTCACTCTGGAGCAGGCACATAAACACTGACATTACTTTTTATAGTTTCATAATTTTACTTTTAAAGTGAATGCATTCGATCTTTTCCACACGGTACCTGGTAATAAATTGGTAATAAAAAGCCTAAAACAGTGACATGTCATATTTCTAATAGAGGCTGGTGATGACATACTTCACGGAGAAATGTCATCTTTTCATCACCAGAGGGCAATCTTCAGTCACTGTCTCAACACGTGCCTTCAGGGAGATTATACAGATTCACATTTAAACCAAAGCCGTTAGGACAAAAGATTTCTCTTTCACTGTATAGAGAAGTATCAGCCGCAGTAATTACAGTACTTAGAAACAGTTATTAATAGTAAAGTCATCTGCTAATTACACAAGTATATGACCAATTCTGTGTGATGTTTGTGAAGCAAAGCTGTGGCACTTTAATGAAGACCAGAGACTGAAAGCTAAGACTGAAAACTGCTCTCTCACCTGTCGACTTTCTGCTCCACAGCCTTCTCTGTCTTCACATCATCCTTCACAGAATCCAGCGGCTGCGTTTTGGCCTCTGCATCTTCATACTGAACACAACAACAAAACCGAAAAGTTGGGGCCTCACAAGTATTCATACAGCATGAGATAATAACCTCTTTTTGTTGCAGTAACAGCAGCAAGTCTTTTGGGGTTTGATTTGCACATCTAGAGACAGAAAGTTTCAACCATTCCTCTGTACAAAACAACTCAAGCTTTGATTGTGAACATCCGTTTACAGGTCTTTCCACAGATTTTCTATTGGAGAAAAAAGCTGTAGGAATACTTGTGCACGCCCAACTTTTCAATGTTTTAAATGACAACAGAATAATTCATCTTTTACTTTCTCTTCACAGTTTTCTGTTACTTGTGTGTGAACTAAAAAATTAAATGTTTATGTTTGTGGTTGTAAACCTGATCTACTTTTATGGAGCAGAGTGAGGAATGCTGGAACAAAAAAAAAAAGTATCTGTTGATTTGGTGCTGAAGAGCTCACTAGCGCCTCCCTCAGGACAAACGCTCTTATTCACCGAGCTGTATTCAGAATGCTCTTTGCTTTCAGCCTTTGACGATGAGGATTTGCTTTTTACCTTTTTCTTTGGCTCCTGTTTTCCATCATTCTGCTCGAGATCCTCCAACACCAGGTCGTGTTTGGTGTGGCTGTTGTTCACTCCATCTGCAATAATACAATTTTACAACACAAACGCACAAATGTCCAAATTTTGATCACTTAAAATCACAAAATCGAAGCCTTTGTTTTGCTCCTTGTTAAAATGGTGTGTTAGTGTGAATGTGTGCATGTGTATGTGGCATTTCCCTCCCATGTCTGGATGTCCCTCTCATGTTTCTGGATCCCTGGCCTGTGATTGCAAAACCACCCAGCCCTCTGAAATCATGGAAGTCGGCTGCTCTACTCACTGATTGGAGGAGCGGCTCTACACCTGGCCAACCCCGAATCATCACCTGGAGTCCCCTCACCAGGTTGTGTTTAGGCTATTTTATGACTGTTTGCTTTTGTTAGAGCTGCAGTTTTGTCACAACTATGTTAATGCTGTGTAGTCTAGAGATAGTGTTAGCTTTTTTGTCTTGTTTCCCCCTGTGTATTTGTCCATTTGTATTTTTCCCAATATGTTTTTTGTGAACTTATCATTTAGCTGAGCTGAGTCATATCAAATGGTCTTACAACAGACATTTTCAAATAATTAGCGATTCATTTGGACATTGCTTCTCCTCCAATTGTACTTTGCGCATTTGCACATGACTTTTAAGTGAAGAAAATAAAAGTCTACCACCACTCACTCATTCACCAGACTAATACTGCGGCATATGGTGGGGAATCAGGAGAGCTCGGAGGAAACCCACCCCGACACTGGGAGAGACCATTGGAAGTATGTATGGTATATGGACAAATAATGCTCTATCGGTTTGTGGTTGGGAGAGGGTTCTAAAGCTGACCAGGAAAAGAGACCAGAGAGAGACCAGAAAGAGACAAGGGAGAGAGACAATGTTACTTGTTCCTGGCTATAAAATGGTTGCATGTATTTTTGGCCTCGTTAGATCTTTAGCAGTGGCTCCAGAGCTGTGTTTGGGACCGGTCAGAACCCACTCCAGAATACACTCCAGAATACACTACCAGTAACACGGTTTCCACCAGACAGAAAGTACAATGTTTAGTAAGAAATGTTTATTAAAATTTAAAGCAAAACGGTGAGTTTTAAGATTGATTTGCAAATGATTTGTAACATCATTATTTTTTTAATCCAGAGGAAACAGCACCAAGAGTAGACAATGATGAATGGACCATTTTATGATGTAATCTTATCATTCTTTCAATCTAAAGCTATCTTTAGTTGACTTAAAAAAACAGCAATTGATTTGTTTAACTGTTGGTACAAATATGATACTAATAGTGAACTGTTTTTTAAAAATATAATACACAAATTTTACATTTTATCCACAATAAAATGCAAGAACGTACAGTGTCCACGCTCCACCAAATTGCACAGTAGTAATCAAAATGCATAATAAAACATTTGGATAAAAAAACAAATACAATCATTTTCTGTCGGTCGGTACAACAACTGACTGTACACAGATGGACAATGCTAAACCCATTGCAACACTCGCCATCTGCAGGCCGCTTGAAGAACTGCACAATAGAAAGCCTGTTTGACTTTTCAAAATCAACAGTCTAGTATTAGGCTCCTACTGAATATAGCACTTTTATATTGTGTGCAGAAGATTGATGACTCAAGTGGCGAATATTATTTGAAACTCTCCACTCTAAAAAGACTAAAAGTCTTGCAGTCACTGAGCCGGGCCTCAGGGTGGCGCCAGTGGGAGGGGCTCTATCCAGTTCCCCCTGTAACAGAGAGAAGAGGGTTAGAGCCCGCCTCCGACTGACGCACACACCAGCCTATCAGCTGCAGACTACCCACCTGGAAAACCAATCAGAAAAATCCACAACCAAACTAAGGAAATTAGCAAATGTCAGTACTGGACTAGCCGCACATTAAAGCTGGGGTATTTACCTTTCAATACACAACGTATTTAGACCAAGTGAAAAATCAACAAGTTCCTGGTTCTCAAACAGTTTTCATATTTGAGTATTTTTGGCCTCTGTTACCGAGAGAGATACCAGAAAGCAACAAGAGAGACGTCAAAGAGAAACCTGAGAGACCAATCAGCTCACAGCCCAAAAAGTCCAATAGTCACAGAGCTCTTCCTCACGCAAAGGTGACTTTTTCCAACAAGAGGAAACCAGCATGTTGTGGTCCGATTTGTTCATAAAGTAGTATGTAAACATCTGGAAAAAGTGGTACTGCAACCTCTCCACCTTTCCTTGACTCAGGTTGACAGATATGCAGACGAATCCAGCTGAGAGTTTTTGTCAGCAACTATTCTATTAGCAACCAAGGTTTATCCTGTTTTATTATTAATGATTTGAGAACCATAATGAGACCCTTTTTTGTGCTTTGGCCACATGGTACTTTACCAGTGAGATTAGCTCAACGTGGTGAGTTCTGGCAACCCGGATCACTACTTTCTGATTGGTGAAACGGTGGAGGGCGGGACATCGAAATTAAAACAATAACAATAATAATAAGATTTTAGTTTAAATTCCCACCCCGACACCTTCTCCACCGACTCCCACTGATGTCTGCTGTCGTTGTGTCCTTGGGCAAGACACTTAACCCCACTTTGCCCAAAGCCCCCACTGAAAGATCAAGGCTATGCTCACACTTACAGAGCAGCCATCTTCCTGTGGACTCACCACCTGCAGAGGATCAGAGAGGGGCTGGTGCTCTGTGACTTGGGTTTCTGCGACAAACTAATTTTGAATTTGCATTGTCCATCTGTAAACAGTCTATGGTGATAATGTGTTGGTATATATGTGTTTGCTACTTACGATTTTGCGCACTGTCACCATTTTCCTGTAAAAAATAAAAGGTGAAATCAGACATTTAAGGTTCTACGTGTGTATTTTCAATGTTTTATACAGTCTACACACCCAGCCATAGGTTCCATTGTTTTGGCCATGTTTTGACAACAGTTTAAACAACTTTTTGCCAGTGGTTATGTGAAGCCATTTATTGTCAAATACATGAGTTTTATATAATAATAAGGATGCCTTGCACTTGTAATCATAATAAAGCAGGACTAGCATATCTTTAGGCGCCGGTGTCACAAGATCCTCAAAAACCGCTCCCATTTAGCACACCGACTGTTCCACCTGCTGCCCTCAGGCCGGGGGCACAGGTCACTCCCTGCCCGAACAAGCAGAATGCCCAACAGCCTTTACCCCCAGGCTGTCAGACTGCTCAATGAACACTTCCCCCCTCCTCACCCGCACAGACTCCCATTATCCTCCACTTTTACATATCTGTCATAACTGAACTGGTCGTGTATTGTAGCAACATACTCACTTTCATCCTGTTACTGTTCTGCTAATCTACCTCCTATAGCCCTGTGCTGTTTACATCCTGCTAACTTCTGCACTTTTTACATTCTATTATCACAATCATGCTCTAAATGTGATTTTGTTGTTTTTGTGACAATGATAATAAATTATTGAATCTTGAATCTTTCTCTCATTAAAATAAGTCTCTGTTATTGTCATTATTTGACCATAAATGTCTTCCCACAGACACTGAGTGACAATGAGTGAAACCGTTCTAAATCTCTGCCGAGGAGTTTAAACTGTATTTACATCAGAACAATTCACTTAGATTATGATCATTTGGACTCACGGCTTTGAGAACAGGTTGAGGCAGCATCTTTCCAAACCCATTGACGATCCACCCCACCACACTGAGGCACATGAGAATAAGTCAGACTTCAAAAGATTATGAAGCAAAAGAGGTTTTAATCAACACCTACTTTGTCTGTTCTGCTGAAGGCCTGCGGGAGAAAATATGTGTAAGTTTTGAAACTATACATTACAATTCAAAGTATGAAAGTGTAATCATTTTTATAGAATAGTATATATGACAGCTCAGTTTCAACCAGCCTTACATTGCCCTACTCTACTCTACTCTACTCTACCCGTTTTTACCAGTACTAGGTCCTTATTTAGTCCCTCTTGCCCCTGGTTCTATCTAGACCCAGAGATGGCACATAAGTGTTCAAACAAACAGTGATTAGCCAGAGTGCTGATGGAAGCCATGGTTACCCAGGAATTTCCCCACATACTGGTTTGGTGGGGATAGTTAATTAGGTTACGATACCAGATAATAAAGCATAATGGAAGCACAACCAGGTAGCGTAGTGTAGAAAAGAGTAGAGTAGAGCAGGCTAGAGTAGAGAAGAGTATACTAGAGCAGGGTAGAGCAAGGTGGAATAAGGTAGAGTAGTGTAGAGAAGAGTAATGTAGAGTAGGGTAGGGTAAAGTAGAGGAGGGCTGGTGGAAACAGGGCTAATGAGTAATTCTCAAACTCTTTTAAACTTAAACCCAGAGATACATTCTCAAAAGAGACCAGTTCACATTAAATGTTGGAAAGTGTATAATGTGTGTAGCTGTTGCACTTACGCTTCTTCTGCAGCTGGAGGAGGCTGAGGGGGCGGAGCTTCAACTAAAAAAACACAAACACGCACAGTTATACACACATACACACACACAGACAGTGCAAAACCTTTAACTTTTGTGGAACAATGATTTAATTATTACACACACACACACACACACACACACACACACACACACACACACACACACACACACACACCCTTCGGTGCAGGAGGATTCTCGTTCTTTGAGTTCTTCAGGTGCTCTGGCTGAGGGACCACCTTCACGATGCCCGACTTTAACCACTCCATCATACTGCAACGCAGGACATCTGTGTCATAGTCTGTGTGTGTGTGTGTGTTTTTGTCTGTGTGCCTGTGTGAAGGGGCAGCTGTGGTGTCTGAGTGAGGAGGAGGCGGCTGTACCTGTGGTTATGGTTTTCAGATTTCTCTTCAGGACTTGTTCTGACTTCCACCGACACTGGAGCAGCTTCATGGTTCATGCCCCCAAGAACACAAAATATATTCTGTTAACTGTAAGACTCCCAGAGCCGTCATTTTGCTCCCATTCAAACCATTAAAATTCTGGGAAATTCCCCCCAAAAATGTGTGTTCCACCAGAATTTAAAATCTAAGACAAGTAAAAAAAATAAAAAAATCTTTATTCACTTGTAATAAGTGCTAAAAAAGGTGAATATGACATAAGTACAGCTGAAATGGCTTGTTCAAAGGATGATGCTAACTGCTGACAGTAGTACTAGTACTTAGTACTTAGTACTTTCTCTTGAAAACCAGTGCTGCCTCAGCTCAGGACCAGGACCAGTCCAAAACCAGCACCTTGAAAAGTTGCTTTAATTGCCATAGAATGTTGTTTGCCAAGTGCCCACACATGGCATCATATAAGTTTTACATTCAAATGCATAAAGTTTTCAAAATGACTGTTCTGGGAGTTACAGGTAGAAATACTCACATTTCCTAATAATTTCATAAAAATAATGATGTAGAAACAAAATAAATGTAGACCCAGAAAAAGTCACTGTACATTGAAGATCATTGTATTTGATACAATGATAATTATGCTTCCAAAATGAATAGCTGTCATAATGACTGCTCTGGGAGTTCTAGTGTTAAGTCCATCCATCCATCCATCCATTTTCTACCCTTTAATCCATTTCTGGGTCAGGGGGGTGGCAGTCAGAGATGCCACCCAAGTCTCATAGCACCAGCCTTACCAGTGTTAAGTCACTGTAGTAAAACAAACAGACCCCACAGCAGTGTGTGTGTTCTATCACTGTAAAAGGTATCAGTGTGTCTCCATAGTGTGTCACCTGGTGCAGTGGCCGGTCTCACCGCCAGCTTCTCTGGGGGAGACTCTTTGCTCTTCAGTTCAGGATGAGGAACCACTTTATCCAAACCCTGTGAGATCCAGGCTATCATCCCTTTGCTGAAGGAGACAGAAATAATACTTTAACAACAGAAACATGCTCCATATTTTTGTGGAAAGCAAGCAGATGTAATAGCAGCATGGCTAACCCCTGCATTTGGCATTTTCAGCAAGCTGCTATTTCTGGGAGATGGTGAGGGTCTTTGAGACTACACAACGCGACAGCATCCAGAGTAAAGTTTGGCAGAACAGACAAGTATAAGCTTTAATGAAAGTGAATATGAACATAAGAAAAAACTGCAGTTTCTGACTTTGTCTTGACCATGGACTGTATTTGAGGAGTGGACTGATTGAGTGTGACATCACTGTAGAGTTAGCCTTAATGCGGAGGAGGCTGATTTGAACATAAGCTAGCTGGAACCATTGTTCTTATATGGGCATTTGTGACGACGTGTTGTTATCATGGTTGCTAAGGCAAGCTGGAGTTTCCCCCACAAACGACATGGATGGGCGCAAAAAATAATCAAGAAATGTGTAAAAGTCTCTGGTGGCTTCAGCCCATCTCTATCCAACTCTGATTGGTCAATCCTTATATGGCTCATATTTGGATTTCCAAAGAAAATATAACAACATAGACACCAGGATTACAAAGAGCAATAATCCACAGATTTCTTAGCCCAAAATGGTAAGAGTGACACAAACGGTTCCTGAACTAGAATTGGAGCAAAACTTTATCCATGAGCACTTCCCTATCAGACTTCATTGAGCTAGTAATGTCCATCTGTGTGTGGTCTATGGTCTTGATGGTCCTTCTGTGCTGCCAGAAGAACATTGGTAATGATCAAAAATCTGTTTGAATGTGTTTATCGGCAGCAGCTCACTATACAGCAGGATGCACCCCCCTCTCATTACTCACTCGTCTTCAGGATTGTTGCTGTTTCCGGGAACAAACAGACACAAGTATGGTCACTAATCCATTTTTACAACATGGCACCTTCAAGTCTGGTCCAATAGTGTGATTCCACCTTGCGTTATACTATACATTACATAGTTTAATTTTCAATAGCTAAAGTAGAAGAGGGCCATGGTTTAAATGACATATTATAATCAGACTGCTTACTTTCATTTAATGTTTTCTTTTTCTTACACAACAGCCTCTAACTCCAATTGTGATACCTACTATATAACAATTGTTGTATGTTTACTGGCGACCTCTAACTCTATTTTGATGTGAACTTGGTGCTCTGACTTTACATAGACAAATGTATACTTGGGCCCAAGATGTCTCCTTGATCATAGACCATAGAGGACCATGTGGAGTGGAGCGTGTCTCATATTTACCTCAGTGGTGGGCTGTCTTCCTGTTTTTAAGAAAACATACTTTTAAAATGAGGTTTATACATTTAAATTACATACATTTGTATTCAAGGTTTTGACCTTTTTGGCAGAGTGGTTGGCGTTCACCGGTTGAGGAATGGCACCACTGAGCCACGACAGCACCGCGGTCCCAGGCCTGAGAACAGAGCAGGATTTGGAATTGAGAAATAACACAAAGAAAGTGGACTTGCATCTTTAAATAAACTGTTGATGATGACACATGGGTCGTAGATCATCATCTACAGACAAGAGCAAATCATTCTGTTTTTTTATGCTAAAGACCCATGTTTTTTGACCTACGGCACCCCAAGAAACTAGTGGAAAAGTTGGCGTGTTGTTTGGACCTATGTGAGCTTTTTGTCATGAGAAAAGCAGGAACAGGTCAATTTAAAAAGCTCAAAACCATCTTTTTATAACAGTCTTTACTGCCCTACTCTACTCTACTTTACTCTACTCAGTTGTGAAAACTAACAAATGCCCATATAAGGAAATTGGGTCCAGCTTGCTTATGTTCAAATCGACATTCCCCTCAGTCCACTATTAGCAGACGCTTTATGGTATATCTGGTGAAACTACAGCGTTTCGTGGTTTTGTTTGGACGAAGGAGTAGAATTCTCCTCTGTGTTGCGTTCAAAGGACATTGGTCGACCCGCCGCCATGTTGTTAACGTTTGTTCTCGGCTACTGCGCATGTCCAAATGGGCGTACGGGGAAGTGTTGAGGTCATAGCAGGCAGAGAATTCACACCATTTTCTGAACAGCGTATCTGCCCTGTTCCACTCTGTAGGCTGGTTCTGGAGGCCCATGAGACAACGATACCCAACTCTACTGGTTTACTGTCGCAGCGTCCCCGTGTAAACAGCACCTGAATGTGACCCCTTCCTGTTCATAAAAGTCACGCACCTGCTTCCTTCAGCTGCTGCAGTGTCATGGTTTTTGTCTGCGGTTGGAACTGCTGCAGAGATAGACAGTTTAAAAGAAGTTGACTTTACTCTGGAAATCTGTCTCTGCATTTCTCACCTTCATCTTTGAACGTCACTTTTTTCTCCTGTTGAAGAAAAAGGAGGAAAGACAAAATGATTGTTAAATATGCCCATCGAGCCGTTTCATCACACTCTCTTCCAGGTTCAAAACTGCAACAACTGAATTTTTGCTTTGTTGTGTCGTATAACCCTATATTGGGAGCTCTAATAAGTAGGAATTATTGTCAAATATGTGTCATAAATGCAACTGACTTTTTGCTAGAGACCAGAGAGAAACCATAAACAGAGACAAGAACGATGCCAGAGAGAGACTAGACTGAAACCAGAAAGATACTAGACTGAGACAAGAAAGAGAGAGAAACAAGAGTAAGGAACCAGAGGGTGAGAGAGAGGGAGAGAGAGATTAGAGAGAGACCAGAAAGAGACTCTAGAGCGTGTGACCAGAGGGTGAGCGAGATAGAGACCAGAGAGAGACCAGAAAGAGACCAGTGATAGATTACTAGACAGAGACCAGAAAGAGAGAGACAATAGACAGAGTAACCAGAGAGTGAGAGAGAGAGGGAGAGAGAGACCAGAAGGAAGTGACCAGATGGAGTGACAGAGAGCGCGACAGGGAGAAGAGACCAGAGAGAGACTCGGCTGAGACTAGAAAGAGACCAGGGAGAGACCAGAGAGAAAGAGAGGGAAAGTTGAAAGTGTGTGAGTAGAGTTAAGGCTGACCGCGGTGACTGGCCGGGAGGAGGTCTCTTTCCCTTCCTGGCTCGAGGGAAGCTCTGGAGGCTGAGGCACCACTTTCACCACCCAACTCAACATCCTGAACACAGACAGGAACACGGCTGAGAACAGGGACCACATGTTTGGACACACGTCAGGGCCCAAACATATAAACAGGATGTCGCTTTTAATCATGAGAAATAAAAAAATAAAGCTCTCACACGGTTACAAACATGAGTAACAAAATATCCTAACTTTTACAACAATATCCAGCAATAACAGGGACCTACAGAGAGAGAGAGACCAGAGAGGGAGACCAGAGAGGGAGGCAGAGAGAGAGCACAGAGATAGAACAGAGAGAAAAGACCATAAGGAAAGTTCAGAGAGAGAGAGAAAGAGAGAGAGAGAGAGAGAGAAAGAGAAAGACCAGAGAGACCAGAGAGAGAGAGACCAGAGAGAAAGAGCGAGAGATAGAGAGAGAGAGACCACTTCTTGACACATTGATGAGCAAATAACTAGACCATAGTTGAGATATGCAGACAAATAAGATTAGCTTTTCTTATCGGGAAAGATTTCCCAGCTGCTCTCCCCAAAATATTTGGAATGTTGTGATGTCACATGAACACAACCTATAGAGAAATATAATGGTTCTTGGTGCTGCAGCCAGACTCCTGCTGATCCAGACACAAAGGTCAAGTCTTTAAGGCCAAGTCCAGTCTGCTCCCTCAGATCACAGTCCAGGACTTTAATCTGCACTCTCACTTTTGACTGAAGGGATGAACACAGGCAAGGCAAGTTTATTTGTGTAGTTTGCTTGTTCTCCCTGTATCTGTGTACAGTAGGTTTCCTCCAGGTGCTGAAGTTTCCCCTAAAAACATGCACAGTAGGTAAAATCCTCCAGCTCTGGTCCTGAAGAGAATCAGCATCTGGAGATGGTCTCTGTTACTACGGCGACCACTGCTTTTAACAGAGGCCCGAGAGGAGTATGGATCATATAAATAGATATACCCTAACCCTAACCTTAATTCTAATTGATTTGAAATCAATCTGGTGAAGAACAGTGATGGGAATAACGGCGTTACTAGTAACGGCGTTACTAACGGCGTTACTTTTTTCAGTAACGAGTAATCTAACTAATTACTTTGACAGTAACTATAACGCCGTTATCATTTCCGACATCCCGTTACTGCGCGTTACTCAAGACGCACAATGAACGTGTTGTCATGAGAGAAGGGAGGATGAGAAAACCTCTCAGCAATTATTGGCTGATGTAAATCATATTTCCTTTACAATCTACATGTCTACAGTTGAGAGGATGGCTCATAAATTGTGTTTTTGAAACAAATATGGGTCTTAATTGCGCTCAACCACGGCTTGTATCACCGTGAGGTCAGCCACAGAGGAGCGCATGTGAGCGCAGAAGTCGACTGCATACAATTCCATCGATAAGCTCCTTGCTCTTCCTGGTTTATCTCCTAAGGACAGCAACAGGTTTGGCTAACATACATATAACACATTTTTACATAATGTAAAATGCCCATAGGGTAATTTTTCAATGACTATAGGAATGATAAGAAAGAGAGGTGAAGTGTAAGACGGTTGATTTTAGAAATTGGATGCACTCGGCTGCCGCTAGCAAAACACAGGAGTTTATGGAGGACACACGCGTTTTGTTTTACTTTTTAAAACTCATTGGACTCATTTCCAAATGGAGGATTACGTATCTACGCTCAAACTATTATCTGGACTTAAACATGGAACTGGTCGAACCGAAGTGGCTTGTGCAGGTCATTTATAAGGTAAGACCCATAACTCACAGTTTTGCGTTTTGTATGAACAAACAATGCGGGCATGAAACATATTTTGCTGTAGCCAAACAAACTGTCCACTTGATTTATATGATATATATGTTCATCTGATTGGGCTGAAGTCAGTGCTTCACCGGTGTTTCCACATTCACAGTGGCGGGCTTTACAGCACAGTGAGAGATGAAGAGTGAACAGGACTTCAGCAGCAAAACAGCCTTTTCTAGATGGAAATATTGGCACTATTAAAGGTAAAAATGCGCACGTCGGGTGCACATTATGTTCCAGAACAAAACGAAAAAGTAACGCAATAGTTACTTTTACTGGTAACTAGTTACTTTTATAGTGGAGTAACTCCGTTAGTAACTCAGTTACTTTTTGGGAGAAGTAACTAGTAACTATAACTAATTACTTTTTCAAAGTAACGTGCCCAACACTGGTGAAGAATCAAGATAAACTACAGCTGCATCTACAGTACATGGAGCTCCAAAGAGAGGACCATATAGTTTTGTAAAAGTCCCCATAAAAAACTGGGGAAAGTTTGGGGTTGCAAATTACCACAAGACCGACAATAATATTAAGGTACTGTATATACCAAAGGTTATGCAACATTTCACTTTTAGTTGTGCTTATTTGTCTGAAACAGCTGCCCTGAGGCACACTCAAATTAGCATCTTTGCTATAACCTGGTACAATGCATCCCTCTCTTTTGTTAATGTTTAATTGTTCACTGTCCTTGTTAAAATAAAGTACCCAGCCTGGTGTCCCCAGAGGTCTCCCATCACAGTACTAACCAGCCCCTGCCCTGCTTAGCTTCAGAGATCTGACAGGATGTGGCTTTCACCTGCAGGATGAGCTAGCGGGTTTGAATCACTTGATCACTTGATCAATTGAATTTGGATACATGCTGCAACTCTACAGGCCTTGGTTAGTGCCGGGATGGGAGACCTACTGTGGTTCTAGGTGACATGAGGAGCCAGAGTGGGGCGGCTGTGGCTTGGGCAAGACACTTCACCCACACTAGAATGAGTCTGGTGCATTTGTGAATGGTTGTCAAGTAACTACAACAACTTTCCTGGTGTGATGTCATCATTCTGCTGTATAAGGCTGTATATGGCTCGTTTGTTATTATTGTAATTCCTGTATTTTCAATATAAGAATTTGGCTGTAATTAATAATCAACTGTATTAATAATATTATTAGCTACTTCTTTTAAAACAGCATTTACCTGACCTGCCATACGCACTTACATTCAAACTCTTTTTTTTTTTTTTTTCTGAACACTGAAAATGAGAAATTATTTAAAATCCATAGATGATAGAAGCTGTTTGAATGTGCCTAATCTCAGTGTTCTTATTTATCCTTCTATTCTGCTGTAATCTGCACAACCACGAACCCCACTCAGGGAGGAATAGAGGTTTATCTTAAAAACGATAGACCACTCTACCGTCCATGTGCAGACAGTGTGTAAACAGGAAGTTGTTCAGGTTCAGCCTGAGCTCGTTTACAGATTGACGCTAATCCAAGAAGTCTTTAAACTGTTTATTAAAGACCAAAGGATTTCCTCCGTCTCAAAATTCTATCCCCATGTGCTTGTCATTCTCATTCCCCATTTCAGTTTGTGTATGGTTAATAATTTTCAATCATATCGGGTCAGTAGTTATCATAGACATGTTTTTGGCTGGACAATGCAAACCCGCTAGCTCAATGAAGCCCAATAGGGAAGTGCTCATGGATGAAGATTGGCTCTACCTCGCTCTGGCTCCTATTGACTTACATGTAAAAGCAAACGCTAAATAGTATACTTGAAAAAAGTATACTAAAGTGGTGATAGACAATTAGACCTGTTGCCACTGGTGCAAGTCCGACTCCTGACCAAGATATAGTGACAGCTACTGTTTGTGGGAGAATTGTAGTCATATAAATAAGTCAAAAAGTACGATGTCTTCCATACATATATATATATTCTCTCCTGTTCAAATATACATAGACTCTCCCATACAAAGATACATAATTCTCTCCTCCAAAAATATACATTGACTCTGCCGAACAAATATCTGCCATTACATCTCACACAGAGATGTTGGTTTATACGCAAACCATATGAACCAATATATTTTGTTTCTCTTTTGTTGCTCTCTGTTCCTCTTGCACAGAACTGGGGGAAAAAGCTTTTGTATGTGCTGCTCCTTCTATATGGAATGTGTTGCAAAAAGACTGAAAATCATCTGAATTTATTTCATTGAATGCTTTTAGATCCAGATTGAGAGCACTTGAGACATGCTCATTGAAATGTAACTGTTTTTCTAATCTGTAATTATATGTAAGTGTATGTAACTTGAAAAATAGGTTCTTAATCTTAATGGGATTTTCTTGGTTAAATAATGGTCTCCTGTACAGATATTCATAGACTTTGCCAAACAAAGATACATAGACTCATTTGTGCATAGACCCATACAAATACATACAATATTTAGTTCTCCACTTTACAGCAACAATCTTTTCACATCTCATTTTGAAACACACAGATTAGTAAAAATCCTAATTTCGGGTTGTATTGAAATGCTGTGGTGTTGGAGGTGGGTGTGGTCTCTGTGGGGGGTCCTACCTGAGAGCAGAGGGTCCGGTGCCTCAAACAGAGCAGAGGAGAAGACCAGGCGTCGCTGAGGCCGGGATTAACCAGGACTATAACTGGATTATAGCAGGGTTGAAGGAGTGAGGGAGGACAGGGAGGGACACTAGGGACAGGAGCGGGAAAGACAAGATAATGGTCCCCACATAGTAGACATTAATCATTGGGGTTATGTTGCACTTTTTAACATTCTTTTTTTATTTTATTTTTAAAGATGGGGAATTTAACTTTCTCCCACGCCCTGAATAATCCGTGTAGTTTGTCCCAACAGAGTCTTGCGAAAGTAAAACAAATGAACAAATCAGACCACAACATCCTGCCATTGAGTTATTGGAAAACGTGTTATATTTTGTGGAAGAAAGAGCCCTCTGAGTCACTTTTAAAACTTTGAATGAAGGTAATCCTCTCTCCTTTTCACTTTTCTTCAAAGCCGATTTAAAGATGTGACCATAGACTGTATACAGATGGACATTGCTAACCCGCTAGATCAGTGACTCCCAAAGTGGGGTCCGGGGGGCAGCGAGTGGTCATAAAATAAAAAAAACATTATATATAATTATTGTATTTTGAATTAATAATATTTTTTGTTTGTAATATTAAAATATTTGTGTTCATTATTTGACTTGAATAATCAAATTGTAATCATTTTTGTATTACAAAATGGCGTGCGTCATTTACATGTTTGTAGCAGAGGCTATTTCCCCCAAATAAAATAACAAGAAAAGCCTATTTTTAACGTTGTCTTCTTGGTTAATATTTTGGGGGCTGCGCAGACCCGTCAGATTTTTAAGGGGCCGCGGTGTTACTGACTTTGGGAATGGCTGTTCTAGTGCAAGAAATAATAATAAATGTGACCATAGACAGTTTACAGATGAACATTGCTAGATCAACAAAGCCCAATAAGGAAGTGCACATGTGCAAAGTTTTTTTATAGCAAGGAAATATTTGTGTTTCAGTCTGTCATTACCCACGCACACAGCAAGCGTTTGATTCCACCACCAGACAGGGCCTTTCTGCATGGAGTTTGCATGTTCTCCCTGTGTCAGCAAGGTTTTTTTTTCCCACTGGGTAATGGTTGGTCCTTGCCAATAAAAAAGTCTTTAAGGACATTCCTTAACATGGACAGTGATCACCCCGCTCCCTACACTGGCTCCTGTGTGTTTGTTATTATTGTATCAATGGTGAATTCACAACTTTGTAAAGTCCTCAAAGACGACATCTGTGGTTTAAGGCTGTATACAAATACATGAAATAGAATTGAAAATTGTGAAATATGCTCTATAAATGAAGTTTTTTGTTCTCAACTTAGTGATTGCGAGTTTACTTTATTTCAGGATTTTATGACATACTTTATTGTATTGTGGTTTGAAAGTGTTAGGGTTTTCCATGTCAATAATAGGACATCTCCAAAAAAAACAGCAAAGACAGGAAGCCGAGGCCAGGTCAGTGTCTCTCCGGCTTGAATGCGGATCAGCTCAGGAGCAAGACTGGTTTCTATCCTCTGTTTCGCTGACGCTGGACTTAACCTTGTTAGCAGCTAATCCTCCTCAGGACCAGACTAACGCCTTTATCCTCCAAGCAATGTGCTCTGAGGGCCACTACACTCCCTGTACTCCCCCTGCTGGCCTCAACCTCACATTTGTATGTTTACAGGGTTCAATTCAATGTATTTGTGTATCACCTGAAATCACAACAGCAGTTGGCATAAAAAAGGGCTGTGAAACAGCTGCAGTATATCATATATATAAAAATTGTCCACTCACCTTTGGCCCTCCGCGGGCGGTTATCCCTCTCTAAGCTTGGGTCCTCTACCTGAGGCCTGGGAGCTTGAGGGTTCTGCGCAGTATCTTTGCTGTTCCTAGCACTGCACATTTCTGGACCGAGATGTCAGAGGTTGTTCCAGAGATCCGCTGTAACCACTCCTCCAGCTTCGGGGTCACGGCCCCGAGTGCACCGATCACCACGGGCACTACTGTCACCTTTACCCTCCAGGCCCTCTCCAGCTCCTCTCTGAGCTCTTGGTTTTTCTCAAGCTTTTCATGTTCTTTTTTCCTGATGTTGCCATTGCTTGGAATTGCCACGTCCACCACCACGGCTGTCCTCTGCCCTTTGTCTACCACCACAATGTCAGGTTGGTTCTCCATTACCATTCGGTCGGTCTGTATCTGGAAGTCCAACAGGATATTCGCACGCTCATTCTCCACCACCTTTGGAGGAGTTTCCCACTTACAGTATACCTTGGAGTTTCCAGCCCAAACTCTGCACCCTAACCCTCTCCACAAAGGTGGACGTGGCAATTCCAAGCGATGGTAACATCCGGAAAAAGGAACATGAAAAGCTTGAGAAATACCAAGGTCTCAGAGAGGAGCTGGAGAGGGCCTGGAGGGTAAAGGTGACAGTAGTGCCCGTGGTGATCATGCACTTGGGGCAGTGACCCCGAAGCTAGAAGAGTGGTTACAGCGGATCCCTGGAACAACCTCGGACATCTCGGTCCAGAAATGTGCAGTGCTAGGAACAGCAAAGATACTGCGCAGAACCCTCAAGATCCCAGGCCTCCGGTAGAGGACCCAAACTTAGAGAGGGATAACCGCCCGCGGAGGGCCAAAGGTGAGTGGACAATTTTTCAATTTTTATATATATACACACAATTCACAGAGCACCAGCCCTTCACTGATCCTCCTGCAGGTGGTGAGTCCACAGGTTACTCTGTCAGTGACAACACAGCTTTGATCGTTCAACAGGGGCTTCAGGCAAAGTGGGGTTAAGTGTCTTGCCCAAGGACACAATGACAGCAGACATCAGTGGGAACCCCCTTCAGGCTCCAAGGCCAAAGCTCTACCAACTAAACCACTGTCACCGTGTTTCAGATTTATGCTGCTACAATCAACTGTCTTCCTGAAAATGTAAGAGAGGCTTCTACAATGTTCAAGTCCAAGTTAAAGACCATTCTGTTTCTCTGCGCATACAACAGAAGGATTTTATCTTCCTTCTCTCTTTTTAATGCATTGTCATTATTTATGTATTTATAGTTTATTTTCTTGTTTTGTTGCCTTGTGTATGATCAGTGCTTTATAAATAAACTTGTCTTGAGTAGACTGGACTCCCTCTTAGTCCCTCTTAGTCATTCAGTAAAGCGTTAAAAACAGTGACTCCAGTTTGTTGTCCACACCTCTGAGGCTCGGCCCTGGCAGATCGACCCTGGTCAGTGTTGCTAACATTCTTTTATGTTCCAGAATGTCCTGACGGTAAATGTCCTTAATCAAAGTCATCAACCTTTGATGAGTGTTGACATTTGTGACTGCCTTAAAGAGAAAGCACATGTTGTATTGTCAGAAAAACCGGTCCAGCTGCTCCCTCAACAGAAACCGTAAACCTCATTACAGAGTCTTGTTTACTTCTCTGGGTTTCTGCAGATGAAACACTTCTCTCCTTGAACTAACGTGACCCTACAGTGAGTACCTGTATTTTAAGAAGGATATACAGCTGTCCCTGTTTTATGGCAGGGGTCATGTGTTCTAATAATAAAGTGAAATCCACACATACACATTATTCACTTTTCTAACCAACTGAACTCATGACTGCTGAAGAGAGAGAGATCAGAGATATCAAACCTGTTGGTTGTAAGTCTCAGTACTGCTGCAGCTTTCAAGCCGTGCATAGACTAAAACAAAGCTCCAGAGGACCCCAAGGTGAGGAGTAGGAGCAGGACTGAGGGCAGGGCAGGAAGAGCAGAGAGAGATCAAAGAGAGACCAGAGAGAGACCATAGACATTTTAAAGAGACCAGAGAGAGAGATAAAGATCAGAGAGACAGAGAGACAGAGACCAGAGAAAAAACAGAGACCAGAGAAAGATTAAGATGAAGAGATCCTTTATTTGTCCCACAGTGGGGAAATTTCAGTGTTGCATCACAAGTTTAAGAGGAGCACACGGCACAAGTCAAGAGAACAATAGCTAAACTAATACAAATAAAACAAAATCTCTATCTCTAGCGTCAATAAAGTATAAAATCTCTCTTGAAAATAATAATAAAAAGAAGTGTAAAAGTTTTACATTTGGCAAAATAAGAGGCAAGTATAAAGTACTGTGTATTCTAGTGTAAGCAAAGTGTAGTTATATGTTAGCATCTGTACATGTTAGCAGCAATATGTTTACACCTGTACATACATTAGCAGCAGTATGTTTACATCTGTACATTAGCAGCAGTATGTTTACATCTGTACATTAGCAGCAGTATATTACACATTCTGCTACAGTATAAGTTAAGGATATTGCAATGATGCATGACACATGGGATCAAGTTGGCAGTGTTCATTAGTCCTTATTGTTTGTTGTACAGTCGGACAGCAGCAGGAAGGAAAGACCTGCGGAACCTCTCCTTCACACAGCGAGGATGAATAAGTCTGTTACTGGAGCTGCTCTCCAGAGCAGAGAGTGTCCTGCAGGGGGTGACAGTCATGGTCCAGCATAGATGTTAGTTTGTCCAGGACCCTCCTGTCCCCCACCTGCTGCACTGTGTCCAGGGAACAGCCCAGGACAGAGCTGGACTTCCTGATGACCTTGTCCAGCTTCTTCCTGTACACGGTGGCTGAGTGGATAGCACTCTCGCCTCTCAGCAAGAAGGTCCTGGGTTCGAATCCCGGTCGGACCAGGGCCTTTCTGAGTGGAGTTTGCATGTTCTCCCCGTGTCTGTGTAGGTTTCCTCTCCGGTTTCCCCTACCACTAAAAATATGTACAATAGGTCTGGCATGCGCCTCCTGTTCGGCGACCCCGCTCCCATCTCTGTGTGGAGTGAGAGGACAAGTGCCCAAAAAAATAACAATTGTAAACCACTTTGAGACTCTGGTCTGTGAAAGGCGGTATATGAATAAAGATTACTTACTTACTACTTACCTCTGATGCTGCTGCTCCAGTGCTCCACAAGATGGCTGATGCCATCACAGATGGCATCAGCCTTCTCTGACCTTCAGAGTCAGAGAAGGTCTTCAGGAGTGGCCCCTGCACTCCAAAAGACCTGAGCCTCCTCAGGAGGTAAAGTCGGCTCTGGCCCTTCTTGAAGAGGGCGTGTGTGTTATGAGTCCAGTCCAGTTTGTGGTTAAGATGAACACCCAGATACTTGTAAGAGTCCACTCTCTTTCCCTGGATGTTCACTGGGGCTGGGGCGGCAGAGTGACGTCTGTGGAAATCCACCACCATCTCCTTGGTCTTCCCCGCGTTGATGAGGAGGTGGTTCCGCTGACACCAGTCCACAAAGTCCTGTATTATTCCTCTGTACTCTGCGTCATCGTCCTCGGAGCTGAGTCCGATGATAGCAGAGTCGTCAGAGAACTTCTGGAGGACACAACCGTCCGTGACTAGAACTAAGAACCATCACATTAGTCCAGGTCTCAGGTCTCTGTCACAGGGACTGGCCTCCCCGATGGGACTCTGAGGCCTTGTTTATACATTGTGCTTTACAAATAAACCTGCCTTGCTTTATACAGACTTTGTTGTATGACATATCTAAATGCTTGTTAATGTCAAACTATTTCCTGGAATACAGTATGTCTTTTGTCCAACAATGGAAGAGACAATGAGACAAAATCTGATAAAGGACTATGGCATGTGTGACACTGGCCTTATGGTAAAAATAACGATTAGTTGAAGGATTACTGGTAACATTATTTGCATCATCATTGCCTTAACCTCAGTGGAAAAACCCAGCCCTTCTATCAAAGCAATAAATCAGATATGTTATGAAAAACCACACCCTTCGACTTCTGGTAGATAAGAGGAAGATGACTAAGTAAAACATTCTCTGAGATAACATTGTAAAAAACAAAGCACACAAAATACTGCATGTTATCCATCCATCCATTTTATACCACTTAATCCAGTTCTGGGTCGGGGAGGGGGCGGGGTGGCACCAGCCCCTCACTGATCCTCCTGCAGCATGGCATAGCCTTGATGTTTCAGTGGGGGTTTCAGGCAAAGTGGGGTTAAGTGTCTTGCCAAGGACACAATGACAGCAGTCATCAGTGAGAGTCGGTGGAGAAGTTCTCATGGTGGGCTTGAACCCACAACCTTCAGGCTCAAAGGGCAATGCTCTACCAACTGAGCTACTGTCGCCTACTGTTTTTATTGATAAAAAATAATTGTAATTTAATCATAAACCATACAACAACAAAACATTCACAACTTAGTGATTGCAATTTTACTTTTTTGCAACAAAAAATATTTGTTGTTGTTAATCTTAATTAAACTGATTGGTAAATGTGCTCTTATAACTAACTATAATAGGGCTGTGAAAAGATTAAAATTTTTGATCAAGTTTGATTTGATTGATTGATTGATTGTATTTTATTTCAAGCTTATAAACAGGAGTCAATTTTAGATTTAACAGCAATTACATATAAGAAATTCACATGATACAAATTTACATACATACACATACGTACATACATAAATATATATTATTATTATTCTCTTTTTTATAATTTTTTTTTTTTCACTCCTGTTAAAGCTCAAAAAGGAGTGGGAAGAAGTCAAGCTAATAAACTCCCACCCCCTATACCTATATTCACTTTATACGGTTGCACATACCCGCCCACACACAAATATACAGACATAACCATACATATGTATACAATATTCATACACACATACTGAAGTTGTTAATTTATATATAAATTATGTATCTATATACACACACATACATATATATATATATATATATATATATATCACTACAGCCTTCCAACAGCTTCATGAGCCACAATCAACAATTTTGCTTTATCTCTACACAGTACAGTATATTTTCATAAGTTAATTACAGCTTAAAAATTAATTAATCCTTATTAATCACATTTCGAACTATCAGAAAAATTATGCCATATTTTTTCTGTAAATGGTTGTAAATATAATGGCATTAACATTATTTTCTGTTTTTCTGTTTAGACTCAGACCAAAACTATTGTTTGTTACAGGGATGAGGGACATTTCAAAATAGTCTGAAATTCAGAATGTCATTACATCTGTTTGATAAGTTCACAGCATTTTATTTTGGGCACAACCAACATGAGCTCTTAATGCAAGGGAAAATGTACGAACCCCAGCTTTAATTTAGCAAGTTTATTTGCGCTTCGGGAGGAGACACGCAGGAGACATGGACACTTCAGTCCAGCTTCAGTGGTGTATATAATATTACGTGCACAGGTTACACAAAGACATGCACACAACAACCATAGAATAGGTCTGTGGCGGATATGATCACGTTACAGCGGCGCCGTTTGCCGTGTTGTTGTCAAAGCGGCCCACGCTCACAGCTGCTGGAGGCGAGAACCATTGTCCAGAGCGGCCGCAGCTGCCCCGGGTTAGAACACTTTTATTTATGCCGCGAGTAACATTAACTTTCAATATGTAATTGGCTTGAATTACTTCTGTGATATGCAAATTCCTTTTTGCACAGTTTGCATATAACTCTTTTATTTTCCTCCGTTCTATCAAGAAGTTTGTTAAAGTAAAACACATCCCACAGCGGGCTTTTCGAAGCGTCTTGTTCGTCGTCCATCACTGTTTTTGTGATCCAGCGGATGTAGGTTGTGCGTTATGTATAAAGGTGAACCAAGATAAGATAAGATAAAATAGATTATATTGATCTCACGCAGGAGACATTTACATGTCACATTTGGCATTAATAGAATTACTCAGATTTGTGCAAAAGACAGAATCAAACATGTTAGAGGCAAAAAATATAGACTAGAAACACGTAAACAGGACAAAGGTGCTTAGTGCGATAAATAATTCATAATTAATTGATCGATCAAAGTCCCAGCCCTTGTAAATACATATGATTAACTCATACAACCTTGTATGAAGCAGTCTAAACAATAATAACTTAAAAAATGATGAATACCTTTTTATTTTGTGTAAGTTAGGTGTTCCACAGGGTCCAACCTTTGGCCTGGTTAATTTTAATACTGTTATGGAAATCTCATACAGTGGTCCCTCACTACAGCACGGTTCACCTTTTGCTGTTCCTCTGGTTTATGTGTTCTTCTCATGTGTGCAGCACCATTTACAACATCATATGACCATTAGTATAGCGTGACAGTTACCTTTAAGTCAGAAGAAAACTTTTGTGGATCTCTCTGGTCTCTCTCCCTGGTCTGTCTCTGGTTTCTCACTCTGGTCTCCTCAAGTAGTCCATTAGTGACTCACAGAGCTCTTTCTTACAAATATGCAAAAGATAACAAGCATGTTATGTCTGATTTGTGCACAATTTACTACTTTTGTACTCAACATGTTGGTAATTG